CACTAGCTGTGTGATCTAAGGCAAGTCACCCCATCTTTCAGACTCCTCTGTAAGGGGGCTGGACAAAGTCCCTAACATCCCTTTTAGCTCTAAAATCCTGAGTCTATGTGGGTGCTAGCTCCCCCCACCAGTTCTTGTTCGCCTAATGGGGCAGCACAAAGTAAGGTGTTCTGTGACAGCATTTCAAACATTTGGAGCCAGCTGTCACGCTTCCCCCTACCTTTCTCTCTTCCACCCAAGACAGCCTCTGCTCTTCCAGCCATTTTTTATGAGGCTATCTTCTTGTATCTTTCCTGGCTATGTCTTTTTAAAAATAGGTACCCCCAAATACACGACACCTCAGACATAGTCTGATGATTCCAGGGACCGTGAGATTACAAACTCCTGTTATTTGATGATCCTAATTTAGCTTTTTATTAGTTCTTATTTGAAATACTTAAATACTGTCAACCTCAATCTGCCTTTCGCCCTCCTCTTCCCCCAGCCCACATGCTAATATAGTTAAAATTTTTTATTGTGGTAAAATATACTTAAAATTTATAATTTTCATCATATAGTTCAGTGGCATTAAGTACATTCATGTGATTGTACACCCATCACAACCATCCTTTTCCAGAACTTTATCATCTTCCCAAACTAAAACTCTGCCCCATTAGACACGAACCCCCTTCCCTCCCCCCTCAGCCCCAGCAACCATTGTTCTAATTTTGGTCTCCATGATTTTGACTACGCACCTCGTAAAGTGGAATCATACTGATTGGTTTGTTTTGTACCTGGCTTATTTCACTTAGCATAATGCCTTAAAGTTTCATCCATGTTGTAGCATACATCAGAATTTCATTTCTTCTTAAAGTTGAGTAATATTCCATTGTATGGATATTATACCTTTGGTTTATGCATTCATCCGCTGAGGGACATTTGGGTTGTTTCCCTCTTTTAGCTATTGTGAATACTGCTGCTTTCTAATTCTGTTAGAAGTAGAATTGCTGAATCAAATGGTAATTGTTTAACTTTTTGAGGAGACACCATACTTTTATAAATATTTTTGTCAAGGTAGACTCTTTCAGGCTTCTGCAGGTGGACTCTGCTCCTGATGTAACTACGTTAGGCAATGCCAAATACAATTTATTATATATATAGTGACCCCTCTGGTAAAGAAATGTTTACATATAATGTATAGTTCACTGCCTAGATTAAAAATCAGTGCGGTGATTGGCCATAGTGTATTGCAGATTTCAATCTATATAACATGCAGGGAAGCATAACCAAACATTTTTTGACATACATTCTAGGCTCCCCAATCCCAACTTTCCTAAGAAAAGAAAGGTAGCATTTAGTGGCAACTATCCAGAGCTACTGGGCTTTAAAAACTGGTAGAAATCTGGATCAGTATTTACATAGTCCCACAAATTCTTATGTCCAAGGTAAGCTCTAGTCGGCATAATTCTAGATTTTATGATCTTAAATACCCTAAGTGATGTGCCTTGACATTGGCATGCTGGGAGATACTGATCCCCTGTCCTCAGAATGGCCAGATGCATGGAGCTTGGAGCAGCCAGAGCCCCCTTACCTGTCACCTTGTCACCAGGCACCCTGGACTCCCATATGGCCAAGGAGGGGTGCTACCACCTGGCCGTCCACTTGAGCAGCAGCTGGTAAGTACGCTGTTGCTCATCATAGACAAGGACGCCATGGAGTTGCTGGAGCAGGTGGTGTTGCAGGCACCTGAGGTCGTGCTGGCTGTGGGTGTCACAGGCCCGAAGACTGGGCTCTGCAGGTGCAGGTCCAGATAGCCCTGCTTTCTGCTTCACATACACTGGGTACTCCTGACCTTTGTGGTCAAAGCTATAGGCAGCATGACTGTTCTGAAAATACACGTACAGCCCTGGCTGTGTAGCTTGGTTGGTTGGAGCATTGTGTCATGCACCAAAATGTTGTGAGTTTGATTCCTGGTCATGGCACATTCCTAGGTTGCTCATTCGATCCCCGGTCATGGCATGTATAGGAGGCAACCGATCCATGTTTTCCTCTCTCTCCCTTCCTCTCTCTCTAAAAAAATCAATAAACATATTCTCAGGTGAGGATTTAAAAAAATACATGTACATTCTGCAAATTATAGCTTCATTATCTTGAAATATTTGATGTCATTTTGAGTGGAAATCAATAGTATAAGAAATTTAATATTTCATTTTGTCAGTGAAAATAAGTTCTCAGATACCTTAAATTTAATATCAATGGTAAATTAAGATTTAATTCAGATACCATACAATTCCCTTTAATAGTATACAATTCATTGGTTTTTAGTATATTCATGGAGTTGTGACGCTACCACCACTAATTCCAGACCATTTTCATCACCTAAAAAAGAAACTTTGTACCTATTAGCATCCACTCTCCATTTCCCCCAATTCTGAGCCCCTGGCAACTAGTAATCTACTTTCCGCCTTCACTGGTTCACCTATTCTGGATATTTTATATAAATGAAATCCTATAAAAAATGGGGTCATATAGTATGTGTCTCTTGGGTCTGGCTTCTTTCACTAGGCATATTTTTAAGATTAATCTATGTTGTAGCATGTGTAAGTATTTCATTCCTTTTTATGGCTGAGTAGCATTTCATTGTACAGATAGACCATTGTTTATCCATTCATGACTTCAACCATAAACTTTTGGGATTTTTAAAGAGATTTTATTTATTTCTAGAGAAATGGGCAAGGAGGGAGAGAGGTAGAGGAACATCATTGATGTGCAAGAACCGTTCCCTCTTGCACACCCCCAACTGGGGACCTGGCCCAGACATGTGACCTGACTGGGAATCAAACCAGCCACCTTTCAGTTCGCAGGCCAGCATTCAATCCACTGAGTCGCACCAGCCAGAGCAAATTTTTGAATGATAATAAAAATTTTTTTTGTCACCTACTTGTGCAAACAAGTTTGTTATAGATGGTTTTTATGAAGAACTGAAGACATTATTACTAAAAGTCTGGATCAGGAATTGTATGTAGGCATTTTACCATTACCAAAAAAATCATGTTCCCAAAAGTAAGCTATGTCATTTATTGACGTTTTAAAAATTATGTTTTGGAAGTGTTTCACAAATTAAAATTTTTCTATAAAAGAGCCTTGATTGGTGTGGCTCAGTGGATTGAGTGCCTACCTGGGAACTGAAAGGTCACTGGTTCAATTCCCAGTCAGGGCACATGCCTGGGTTGTGAGCCAGGTCCCCCTTTGCGGGTGTTCAAGATGTATCTCTTCCACATCGATGTTTCTATCCCTCTTCCTTCCTACCTCTCCCTTCTCTAAAAATAAATAAAATCTTTAAAAAAATTAAAATTTTTTTCTATAAAACATTACTCACTTTTAACTTTCTTATATATGTAATGAATTTTTAATTCAAATCATATGTATCTATTCCTAAATCCTCCGGTTTATTCCATTGTACCATACAAAAAATATCTTCATGTGCCAGGAGTGAAAAATGTTGGAAAGCATGCCTTCCAGAATGTCTCAGATTTTAAATAGGATTCCTAATGGGGAGAGAAGGCTACACACAGGATTCTTTATATGGTCCATTGAGAGAGTTCACATATATATTTACTTATTTTTGGTTGTCATGATTTTTAATTAAAACATTTTCCTTTGTAGCTCTCCACTAGCCAGGCATTCCGCGGCACCGCTGTTGTCGTCTATGTCACGAGGGTGGTGGCCATCAACATTGCCGCCCAGACCGGGCAGTCCAGTCCCCGGGATCTCTTTAATGGTTCCAGAGTTCTCTAGCTAATCAGTGTGTCTGTTGGGCAATGTTGGCAATCTCATCGAAAGTGGTATTCCCGCTGTGCTTAATCTCTTTTTGCTTCCTTCTGTTTCTGGGTGGTTCTTTGAGGGCTTTGCCACAGGGCAGAGGCAGGAAGGTACTACCTCAGACTGGGCCTGTCCCCTCGTAATGGTCAGTTTCACTGTAATCCTCAGACCCTTCCATTCACTGGCCACTTTGGCAATGTTATTACATACTGTTTTTGGAGACAGGCCCAGGGGGCTGATCTTTGGGGCCAGGGCAGATGTGGCACTGACTTCCCCACCAGGGCACCTCAGGTATATGACTTTGATCTCGTTGGGGATGAACTTCAGCAACACAGTGGAGGCGGCTGGTATCAGATGAACCTGGATCCGGATTTGGGAAGACCAAAGAAAGTTGCACCTTCACCTCCTCTGAGCCAAAAGCCGAAACTGAAAGTTCACATATTTAAGTTTTGAAAATGACCCTACTTCCCCACAAAATTAAACTTTTACAAAATGCTGATGGCTAGTTCAGTCTTGAGTGCTACAGGGGCTGCCTGAAGACCTATGGGTTAGTTCTGGGGAGAGTAAACCATTTTTGCCCCCAAATTTCTTGAGGTATAATTGACAAAATGTGAAGATATTGTGAAAGGATGTCCCCCATCTAGTTAACATCTCAACTCACGTATTTATTTTTTTGTGAGAACATTTTCTGGTCTACTCTTATTAACAGATTTCAATTATATGAGACAGTGTTATCAACTATAGTCATCATGTTATACATTAAATCCTTGAGTCAATCTTTTAATGGGCTGGACCTAATCCATTGGTTTTTTTCCCCCTTCTATGACTATTTAAGACCATTTCAAGCCAGCTATCATGATTTTGTGACAGCAATTAATGGATACTCTGTGAAACAAAATCTTTTGTAAATCACCCCTGGCCGCTGGCTCAGTTGGTTGGAGTGTTGTCTTGCAGGCCAAAAGGTTATGAGTTCGATTCCCAGTCAGGGCACACACTTAGGTTGCAGGTTCAACCCTGGGTCAGGGAGAATATGAGAGGTGACCCTCATCAATGCTTCTCTCTCACATTGATGTTTCTCCCTCTCTTTCTCAAAGCAAAATATATCCTTGGGTGAGGATTAAAAAAAATTTGTAAATCAAAATGTTCTCCAAGTCAAAGCTGTGGACTCTGGATTTGAAAATAACACACATGTGCTACGCTTTTATTGTTTTATAATTTATTTTTAAAATGACAGTAACAAACGATTCTCCCTTTTTGGGGAATGACATACTATATTCAGTGAAAGGGCCTTAAAAGTAACACATTTGTCCAAATCAAATTTATATAATTGCACAAAGTCATATAAAGCATTAAGAAATGCTGAGAAAGACTACAGTTCTCTCAGCTCCTCACAGGTACAGTCCAGGAGGCCTTGATTCCAAGGGGACCCCTGATCCGCATGGCACTGATGCTCGCTCCAAGCTCCTCATACGACGGAGGCAGAGGCCTGAAGAGCAGTCAGGAGGACCCACGAGCTTTGCGACAACGGAATTCTGCCCTCATGTTAGGGCTTCTTGATGTATTCATCTCCTCATTCTCCTAGGAGCATGAAACACTTTAGCTTGAAGTGTATTTGCCCAGGCTTAAAACCCACACAGAGAACGTGACGTCACCATCAGAAGCAGCTTCCTAACTTGGAAATTAGGACTATGGGAGAGTAGAGGTTTTTACTTCACAGTCCCAGTTTCCTGATTATGGGGGATGGGGGGCATGGACAGCAATTCCTGAAATTACTTCTGAAATATTCCTGAAATAAAAGTATGTGGCAGAGGCTCTCTAGATATGCTTCCTTCATTTAGATGAAATTGTTAATGATTCAAGCTCATCTACTCAATTCAGGGAGAAAAATTCCAGTGGAGCATTTGAAAGGTTTTTTTAAAACTAAAGTTTTTGTTCTAGGAGAGCCTGGTATAAAAATGAAGTACTTACTACACTCAGACATGGAAGGAAATGTGGGGCATGTCTGGGGTGTGGCGAAGAATGGATGAGATTCCTGCACGGTGCACAATCAGTCGCTCACAAATCCTGGCCCTATCAGACAGCCCCTACACATCACCCGGAATGTTCACGATGCCATCTCATGAAGGTTCTGACAGGCTGATTCAAATGTTCACCTGCAATGGTTAGTCGGGACTCAAAGCACAATATACCTGGATCAGGGACTAAAAATCAGCACAACTCCCCAAGAGCCTTCAAACTGTTACTTGTAACACCTGTACAACTTGACTGGAATCTACCTGGAAGGAGTCTGTTTCACGTCCGTGAGTGCTGCTGTACATAAAACCTGCCAAAGCATTTAGTTAGAATGTTGAAGACCACAGAAAATGACTTTTAGGGAGAAAAGGAAATTCCTTATTCCAGGATTTGAATGAACAAAGGAAACCCAAACTAAGGGCTGTTAGGGCCACAGAGGCCCAGAGTGCGAAGCCTGAGTTGTGGATTTCTTTTCAGTCCCCCCCATCCCCGCCCCTTTGGGAAGTAGCACAGGGAGGACGCCTCCAGCTGTGTGGCCATCCGTTCCCACAGCTGCTTACATCAGGTTAACAAAGCCAAGCACGGTGGGTAAACGCTGTCAGGACACGATCGATCTGTATCACTTTGGTTAATTGTATGATCGTTGTCTCCTGATGGGAGTCACTGCCTGTCTGCTTTGGGTTCCGTACCTTGGGTTTTCCTGGTAAAATGGACGAGCCTCTGTCACTGCAGTGAGTGCTAATCCCCTAGCCTGTGCTTTGCTAATACAAATGTTTTCTCAAAAGCCCTCAAATTGGTGCTCCAGTAATCAGCATGTTTTATACATCTTAGGTTCATACCCAGTTTTAAAAGACACATACTAGTTCTTAAAGCTTCTCTTTTTGACAGAAGCTCCCAAATAAACTATCTGCAAAAATCTAGCCTTGTTCAGTTTGCAAACTGAGTTCCTGTATAATTCTGTATTGAGAGAGATACGACTCTTCCAGTGCTAAAAGCAGAGAAAGAAAAAAGTCTTAGGCTGTTTATAGGCACTTGGTGGGTTACATATTTTGTTTTTGTTAGCACTAGAGGAAATCACAGAATGATAACAGGGATATCTCCCTGAAAACTAGGTGCTGTTCCTCTCACTTTAACTAGGTAAGTAACGGATCTGCCCTTGGCCAGAGCAGCAGCTTCAGGAGTGTGCTACAAGGGCAGGGCATGAAGAACCTACAAGGGAAGCATGGATGTCTGCGGAAGGAATCACCCTCAGACTGAGAACGGATGGATGGAGGTCTGGATCTGCAGCAGACACTTACAAACTTTTCTTTCTCTTCCATGTCCTTCCTTTTCAAGAACCTGAACATTTTCCAGGCCCTAGGCAACCAAGTAGCAAGAAGGCTCAAAACCGTTTTGTCTAACAGCTAGTATTGCTGGAATCTGGATGGTGGCTACACAGTGGGATTGCAGGACACCAGTGCCATGAGAGCTCTTCTGGCTCCAGGAGGCATGCAGGCTCCAGAACAGGTTGGTACCAGCACGAATGGCATGCATTCGCCACGCACAATCACTGACGGGTGGCTTTTAGCTTAGGCAGAGACCTTGGTGAATTGCTCCGATTACAAGCATCACACAAATATCTTATGCTATTAGGTGGATCTCAGGAAAAGCACTGAAAGGAAAAGACCTGGAGAGGAGAAATTTTCTGTGCATTTAAATGTGTTAACTGGAATGCATGAACATATATAACCAAGAACTATCTTTATGTTTAAAAATTAAACTTGTCTGGGTCATTAATTCTACAGAATTAATGTTATTAAAGTTGCAGTAACGTATAGTCCAAATATTCAATTTTCCCCATTTCTAGTTACTTAAAACAAAAAAAGACCACACACACCATTACATACATGCACACAGTCCCCACACTCCCAAATGAAACCCACATATAAACACACACACAGAGACAACACTCAGAAAGCTCATGTGCACAGGTGCCAGTGCACAACCCTTGAACCTGAGATGCATGTGGGCTACAATGAGGGTCAGGAGGCCCTGCTGCAGATGTGTTCGATGTCATTTATCTCTTTGGGACAATCAGCAGAAAGGATGAGAGGTGAGTCCTGAGTCACCACTACATCATCCTCAATCCGTACACCAAGACCACGAAACTTCTCTGGGGCATCTCTGTCATCCTCGGGAATATAAATGCCTGAGAAGTAGAAAAAAGAATGTGCTGTTCATAAAAGGCAGTCACGGGATGACTTGGGGCAGACAAGTTAACCTCTGTTATAATTCATCTGTAAAAACTGGGATCTTAACAGTATCTACCCAGGAGTCATGGAGACTAAATGAGATAATACATATAAAAATGTCTGGTACACAATGGTCAATAAATGTTGACTGTCATTACTAAAATTATTATTATAGTTATTTTGTAGACTAGACTACAGGCTCCATACATCTGCAGTAATGTTGATCATGATTCTGTCATATTTTAGAGGCTCAAGCAGGCCACTAAAGTTATTTAACACACGAATATGTCAATATATGTTGGGAACTGGTAGATTACACAAGTGAATTCTATCTCTGCTTAACAGTCCCGTGAAAAAGGGAACTTTGCTAAAATAAGGACATAAGGTATTTTAAAATGTATTTAAAAAACACTTATTTAGAGATTATTAGATTGACCAACCAGAAGATGCAGAAATATGCAAATAAGCCCTCTCAAATAAGCCATCTAAGTGTAACTGGTACACACTGTAAAGCAAAAGAAACAGGAAGATTTTAATGAACATTTGGAAAATTCTAAGAGCCCAAGGTACTCTTTCTTATCATGAAGTCAGACAGAAAACAGTCTTTTCACAGTAGAGAAACTGTAAACTTCCTCACCTATACTCACAGTTCCTGCTCTGTGATAAAAAGAAGTGATCAGCAAAGAAAAATGTAGTCAAAGTCTAAGGAAGCACTCATGTACTGACTAGATGGGACCAAGTGGTATGTAAGGTCATAGATAGCAATGTATGACTGGTGGTATGAAAGATGCATCTCAACTCTGATCCCATCCAGAGAACGTTTGTTGAAGGGGTAGTGCACCAACTACCGGGAACGACATTTCGTGGACAAGCTAAACTGGCATTCGAGAACAAGGCTCCTGGTTTCGAGTTCAAGATGGTGATGTAGAAATATCCTGAGCTCACCTCCTCTCATTGACACCAAAACTACAAGTACATATAAAACAGCTAACTCTTGAGAACAACCTGAAAACTATCAGAACAGATGTTCTACAACTGCAGATATAAAGAAAAAGCCAAACTGAAAGCCTAGTTGACGCCTACCCTATCCTCTATTCCCTATGTGGTGACTCACAAGTGGGAGGGATATCATAACTGTGGAGGTCGTCCTCGAAGAGTAAGGGGTCCAAGCCCTAGCCTGGGGGACCAGCACCAAGAAGAGGAGTACCCAAAACATCTGGCTTTGAAAACCAGCAGGGCTTAAGCCTGGGAGAGCAGAAAAGCTGTAGGAAACCCAAGTTGTGCTCTTTCTGAGTCCTGGCACAGAGGCAGCAGTCTGAAAAGCACCTCAGTCATATGTGAAGATGGTACATTGACTGCTTTTAGGGTGTGCGCTAGAGGGACAGGGATCTGTTGGAACTTTTTCCTGAGTAAGAGGTGTTGGTGGGTGTCATTTCCCTCCTTTCTTTAATGAAGCTGGTCTGACACTGGCAGGTATCACATCTGACACTCTCCATTAACCTTGCTAACACTGCTCACCCTACTCTGGCATTTCCCTGAGGACCCACCCAAGCTAGCATCCCTCCAAATTTGCTCCTGCCCTGCCACACCCAGTGGATGGCCTTAGTGGGTGGTACCAGCACACAGCAATGTGTCTGCACCAGGGTAGCTGAGTCTTACAGCCAACCACGTTGAAGGCCTGCCCTGCTCACCAGTGAGCCTGCAACAGCTGTGGCCGGGCCTTCACAGCCAGCAGGCCAGGGACCAGCCTTGCCCGCCAGTGTGTCCATTCAAGTTGTGGCCCAGCCACAAGAGCAGGCCATACTAGTCCATGCAGGGAACACATCCACAGCACCTGGCTCTGGTGACAAGGGGGATTCCACCAGTGGACCCCCCAGGACACCTTCTAAATAAGGCCACTTTTTAACACCACGATATTTCGCTGACCTACCTAGTATATAGAAACAAACAAACAAAATAAGGAGAGAAAAGATTATGTTCCAGCTGTGACGTATGTGGCTCAGTTCGTTGAGCGTCATCATGCAAAGCGAAAAGTCGCTGGTTCAATTCCTGGTCAGGGCACACGCCTGAGTTGCAGGCCTGGTCCCTGAGTGAGGCAACCAATCAATGTTTCTCTCTCACATTGATGTTTTTCTCCCTCTCCTTCTCCCTTCCCTTCCTCTCTCTCTAAAAATAAATAAATAAAGTCTTAAAAAAAAGGATATGTTCCAAACAAAAATGCAGGCTAAACTGCAGAAAAAGAACTAAATGAAACTGAGCTAAGCTGTCTACTAGATAAAGAGTTCAAAGTCATAGTCATAAAGATGCTCACCAAATTCTGCAGACAAGTGAATAAACTCAGCGAGAACTTCAACAAAGATATAAAAAAAGACCTATCAGAACTGAATAATATAACAACCGAAATGAAAAGTACTCTGGAGGGAATCAGCAGAAGATCAGATGACGCAGAAGAATGGACCAGCGATCAGGAAGACAGGATAGTGAAAACCACCCAAATGAAAGATCAAATATAAAAAAGAATTGAAAAGAATGAAGATAGTAATTTTTGAGACAACATCAAGTGTACTAACAGTTGAATCACAGAGGTCCCAGAAGGAGAAGAGAAAGGGATGGAAAAACCTATCTGAAGTAATAATGGCTGAAAACTTTCCTAACCTGGCCAAGGAAACAGACATCCAAGTCCAAGAAGCGCAGGGTCCTAAACAAGATGAACTCAAAGAGATCCATACCAAGACACATTTTAATTAAATTGTTAAAGATAAAGAGAAAATCTTAAAAGCAGCAAGCTAAAAATAACAAGTTACATACAAGGGAATGCCTATAAGATTATCAGCTGACTTTTCAACAGAAACTTTGCAGGCAAGAAAGGAGTTACACAATATATAACATGATAAAAAGGGGAAAAGCCTACAACCAAGAATACTCTACCCAGCAAGGTTATCATTCAGAATTGCAGGAGATCAAGATTGTCTCAGACAAGCAAAAGCTAAAGTAGTTCATCACCACTAAAAAGGCGTTACAAGAAATGTTAAAGGGAATTATTTAAGCAGAAAAGAAAAGACCAAAACTAGAAATAAGAAAATATATGAAAGAAAAAAATCCTCACTAATAAAGGCAAACATATAGTGAAGATAGATAGTAAACCAACTACTTATAAATCTAGTATGAAACAATTAAAATAGCAGTAAGTACATATCTATCAAAAATTACTTTAAATGTAAACTAAGTGTTCCATTGAAAAAACATAGGATGACTGAATGGATAAAAAAACAAGACCCTTACATATGCTGCCTACATGAGACTCCAGATTGAAAGACACAAACAGACTAAAAGTAAAGGGATTTAAGAGATATTTCATGAAAATGGAAACAAAACAGAACAAAAGAAGAAGCTGCAATAGCAATATTTATAGCAGACAAAACAGACTTTAAAACAAAGACTATAACAAGAGACAAAGAAGGACCCAGCAATTCCCCTTCTGGGTGCTTATCTTAAGAAAACAAAACACTCATTCAAAATTCAAAAAGATATGTGCACCCCGATGTTCACTGCAGCATTATGTACAATAGCCAAGATATGGAGCAACCTAAGTGTCCTTAAATAGATAAATGGATAAAGACAAAGTGGATATATATTTACATATTACTCAGCCATGAAAAAGAATGAAATATTGCCATTTGTGAAACATGAATAGACCTAGAAGGTGTTATGCTAAGTGAAATAAGTCATAGAAAACCAAATATTGTATCATTTCACATATGTGTTAAATCTAAAAAACTAAACAAATGAACAAACAAAACAAACACACTCAAAGATTCAGAAAAACAGACAGTTGCCAGAGGGTTGGGTGGTGGGGGTATGAGCGAAAAAGAGAAGAGGATTAAGAGGTACAGAGGTACAAAGTTATAATATAAGTCACAGGCGTGTAAAGTACAGCATAGGGAAAGTAGTTAATAATCCCACAATAACTGGTGACAGATGGATAGTTGACTTTTTGTGGTGATCATTTGTAAGGTGTATAAATGTGATATCTCACTATGTTATATACCTTTAACATAATATTGTATGTAACCGTACTTCACTTAAAAAGAACTTTACATTCCAGAATGAATAAAAAAGCCATGTCCAGCTATAATTACATAATTTAGAGATGAAAATACTTGAAATCTAAGAATGAAATGTTTTCACAACAAAAAACAGCCTCCACTGACTCTTGTAATGTCACTCTTCACACTCTGCCATGACTACCATTTCTCTGTGGAAATCTGCCCAATGCCTAGCATCATGCGAGCCAGGAACCATTAAATCGCCAGCTTTCTCTGAAGCTTAGGAGAAAGGATTTGGATACTAAGAAGTAGGGTAATGTGGGCAGTTCAATGCAGTTTGCAGAGGAGGTGCAACTAGGAATGCGGTGAGTCTAAGCGTCTGAGTGTCGTTCAGCAAGAAAGCGCTGGGAACCTCAGCAGCGTGTGCAGCCCACCAGTACTGCCCAGAGACTAGCAGAGAAGGGCCCTGGCAAAGGCATGGTTGATAAAGATTTATTTTTTAATATCTACTTATAGAGAGTAGTCCCCCTCTGTTGTTTGCTGGAGAAGTCAAATTAAATAAATTGTGTTATGTTAAATAAGAAAGCTCAAGAAAAATCTAAAATAAATTTCCCTTCTACATCACGGAGTCATTCTCTGCCCCCACTCCTCATTTAATTATGTTGGTTCAGGTGAGAATAAATGATATTTACCTTTTTATCTGCCACTACCATTGCGTGTCCTAAGGGGTCACAGGCTGCTGGCGCTCCCCACCCCCTTACCTGGCTCCACCGTGATCACCATGCCGGGCTGTAGGGGGAGGGAGCGGGGCATGTCTGGAGTGTCATGGACGTCCATCCCGAGGTAATGGCCAACGTGATGAGGGCAGTATTTTCGAGCAGCCTGGAAAAGACAATTGCCATGGTGTTATTAGAGCAGTGACGCCTTAAGGGGAAAGTTGGGCATGTATGAATCAGTGAGACACATGTTAATATGTCCTCCATGGTTCTGTTACTTATGTTTAACCTCTCCTTGGGCTACTGCTTAAGAGACCTGACCAACTGCACCTCTCATATGAAATTCTGCTGGTGTACATGAACTAATCCACATTTTCATTCCCACTCTCTGATACGCTGCCTTTGTGCTGACTTGGGTAACGCCAGCAGCAACAATGGCAAATGGAAATCTCTCTTCTCGGGGGTGGGAGGATGATTATGTTAGAATAGTTCTATTTTCAACGTTTACACACCCCTCTTACAAAGTCTACTCTGGAGACCCTAAGGATCTTACAGCAATGTGTGGAACAGGCTGAAACATCAGATAACGCAGTACTTATCAGGCATTTACTGGCCTGGATGTTTCTATCTATTAATTAAAGATTTGCTGGCCTGCACAAGAGGAATTTAAAGTTTCTCTCCTATTGATAAAAAAAAAACAAAAAACAAACCCTGGCAGCCCATCTGTGGAGATGGGAGATGCCTTAATGTCCTGTTTGGCTTGACCACTCGGCATTTTAATTTAAAGCTGAGGCTTTACAGTTTTACGAACACCATTACATTTTGGATGCAGATGAAATCCACTAAAGACATTCCCGTGAAGATACTGTTAAAGTCTCAACTATGTCATTAAAGCAACAAACACCATCCTTTTTGACCTTAACCTTTTCAAAATCACCACAAAAGAACTAAGAGTTAACCTCTCCTCCTTTTTGCGTCCTTTTCCACCCTGTCTGCACTAGACTTCATTTTATGTATTCTGACGACTGAGCTATTTGTACAGCGTGCAATGAAGCAGAATGTGCTGCCACCTTCTGGGAGGAATAAGTACTGACTCCCTTTGTTGTAAAGCACGTTCAATCCAAGTTCCTTTTACAGACGAAAAATCACAAAGACCATTTCTAAATCTGATTAGCTTGACATAAAAACCGAGCAGCATGCAAGATGTTCTTGAGAAGTGAAGTCAAAAGAAGTGAGGTACCTTGAAGGCATTATTTTCCTTAATGTTCTTCATGATCCCCAGCTCTTTAAGCTTCTGTCCTATCAGGGTCAGCATCATGCTGTAGATGTTTTCCAAGCTTGTTCCAGGGGAGCAGAGAGTCAGACAATCTCTCTGGATCTCTAGAACAGCTTCGTAAAGTTCTGCCTGAGGGGCTGTAAACCTGGGGACAGGAAAACCAAAGAATGTGAATTGGGAATTAACTGATATTGCAGGAAGTTTGGGACAAGAGAAAAATTCTGAGATGTTAATAAGTTAAATTATAAAGAATGAGAGGAAGGGACAGGAACAGATAACCAGTTAATTGTTTTGTGCCAACTAACAAAAGATTGCACATATCTGAATGGATGAGGGAGCTTTAAATCAATTTCCAGGCATCTATGAGCGAACCACCAGCCACCACCACATCCAGCACATACATGGATTTTTAGGACTGTTACCTGCAATGAATCAAAAGTAGTAAATATTTCACCCTGGCTGGTGTGGCTCAGTGGGTTGAGTGCCAACCTGTGAACCTAAAGGTCACCAGTTCGATTCCTGGTCAGGACACATGCCTGAGGTGCAGGACAGGTCTTCAGTTAGGCGCCTGTGAGAGGCAGCCAATCAATGTTTCTTTCACACGTGGATGTTTCTCCCCCACTTTCTCCCTTTCCCTTTCTCTAAAAATAAATAAATAAAATCTTTAAGAAGAAGGAGTAAGTATTTCTTCCTCTGGACTGGGTTCCTATCCTAGAACTGTGCTACCTTCACCTCCCACCCTTATCTGTAGCCAATGTTAGTTCTCTCAAAACAACTTAACATCTTTCTTTCCCTAAACATAATGGATAAAAGCACCTGTCAACTCTAGGACGGTGCACATGCTGCCTCTCCACCAAGCCCCACTGCTGGTGGTTTAGATGGCATGCCCCATGATCTAGTCCTTTGATGGCTAGAAGGATGGTCCAATTAATCCTTCCTTTAAAAAACAAAACAAAAAACCTTTCAGCTGTGGAATAATTATGTTTTGTGTAACATTTACTTCTAAGTTTGATTAGAAAAACTCCAAGGTGATGATGATGGGGCACTGTAGGTATGTAATCAGTACCCACACACCATTACTGACAGGACCTTAATCACAGCCTAGATGTTCAACAGGAAGAGCAATAACCCTTCAAACTGCGGCAGAAACAATATTTCCGTCATGAGACACAGATGAGGAGAGGCCAGAAGATGCACCCAGCTATGGATGCAGTCAGAGGGCCAGACCAGGTCACTCAAGATCCTTTCCATTTTTTACCATTAAAAAAAAAAAAAGCTTAGGGACCCACTTCCTATAGGCGAAGCAGATGTCATGGGTTAAACCAGTTGATACTCTGGTTACTAGTAGCTTATAGGTGTCCTTATAATAATTCTTTGCCCTGGCTGGTGTGGGTCAGTAGACTGAGTGCCAGCCTATGAACCGAAAGGTCACGGGTTTGACTCTCAGTAAGGCACATGCCTGGGCTGCAGGCCAAGTCCCAGGCTGAGGGTGTGCAAGGCAACCAATCCATGGATCTCTTGCAAACCGATGTTTTTCTCCCTTTCTTTCTCCCTTCTTCTCTCTCTAAAAATAAATAAAATCTTAAAAAAAATAAAAAGAATAATAATTTATTCAGCAATCATGGGGAAAAATGATAAAATAATTACACTTGGATGGCATATGATATGTATTTTCATGTACTGTTGCTGTGAGTGTAAATTAGTACAGCCAATTAAATCAAAGGTCTTCAAAGATGCTCATAAAATCTGAGCTTGTGATTCTGCTTTAAGAATCCATTCTAAGAAAATATCTGAAATTCAAAAAAAGATGAATGTACAAAAATACTCGCTGTGACTTTTTTATGTAATTATAGATACAGTGTAAATGTTCCCTAATAGAGGAATATTTAAACATAACAATAAAATGGTATAATGAACACTTACACACCCAACTCTCAGGTTGGGTGACTATCAACACTGTTATGTTTATATCCATACTCCATGCCACCACAGTACCACTAAATATTTTTAAAGTTTTTTAAATGTAAAATTTACGTACACTGGAATACACAAATCTAAGCTGTGCAATTCTGATCAACCATGATGAAGCTGGGTACACTGAACCCCTAAGTTCTGCTGAGGTTTCTTTGCTGGTGGAAGCAGCCCTTCTACCACCACCTGAGATTAACCTTGTTTTAACTGAGAACCTACAGGTATCTCCCCTTAGGCAGTTGCCTGGGTACTTGCTTCTGGACTTGTAACCAGACTGTACTCCTAGCAGGACCTAGCAGGTGAAAAGACTGTCCCACGAGGAGGTGCATAATAATCCAAAAAGAACTGCATAATTTTTCCTATTTATATAGATAAAAATTTAAGAATATGTGTGGAAATGGATAGTAACATGTGGGATAATGGTGGGAGGAACACAAAGTTGCATCAGGCTGAATTTGTTGATATGGGTCCACGAAGCAGATTCTGGAGTCAGTGTTATAGCTCAAGGAGTCAGAAATGCTCTAATAATTTATTTGCTTGGTTGGCTGAACCATGGGCCAAACTGTGTCCTACACTAAATGAGGTCAAATGCCACAACTGCCTTGCTATACTGGAGAGAGAGTTCCTCCTTAAGACTGCAACATCAACTCCTGCATTAGTTTCCAGCCTGCCCTAAAAATGTATGAGTCAATTCCTTAAATGAGTCAATCATTATCCATCAATCAATCTACTTACCAATCCACACACACACACACACATGATGTTACCTAGGTGTTTCTAGGTACCCGATTCTGTGATATGAATGAAACAATCTCAGCAAATAATCAGGAGCTTTGCAAAGGCAGTTAACCTGAGCTAGAGAGGACCTGTCTATCTTTTTAGCCATTTATTCTAAATATGACCATACTCCAAGAGCAGTGAGATCTGCAGAAGCCTTACTTGCCATTCACAGGCCAGGTTCGGGTGACGTCACTCACATAGCAGGAAGATTCGCACCCTCCATCCAGCAGCACCATCTCCCCGTCCTGGAGCAAAAGACAGGTCAAAGTGGTGCCCTCTGGATTGTCAGTTGTTCCTTCTTTTAATTTAAACTCTTTGTGCCTTTCACGTTACATCCATTTTTTAAAAGCTCTAACTTAAAGGAGATTAATTGTCTTTGGTTCCTTCTCATAAGAAATAACAACTAAATTTTTGAAATGAATTCAGTAGTTCAGGAAAGGTGCCATCGTATAGCGGTTAAATGCACTGGCTCTGGAACCAGAATGCTTGGGTACGAACTTCTAGGTGTAAACATCAGCACATCATAAATGTCACCATTACCGCTATCACTACAAATTAGCAATATCCTAGAGAAGGATTTTATCTACAGCTTTATTCAAATACAATTACTCTTAACCATTTAACTTCAGAATATCATTTCCCTTTCTGCTCCCTATCAAAATGCACGTGGAGGAAGAAGAAAACTTTGGGTGTATCTGTCTTGCAAGTTGTCATGTTACATTGAAATGATCTATTTATGCCCTCAAAGATCGGGCATTTCTTATTATCTCTAAATAAGCACAGAACTTGGCACCCCACAGAGTAATGATCAAATGAGTGCATATATAGTAGCAGTAACTTTGAAGAATGGAGGCGATTTTTGTTTCTGGCAAAAAGATGGAATAAATTTCCTGTAAGAAGACAATGAATATTATCAAAATTATTATCATAAAAAAAGTTAAGTCCCCTAAAATACATATAGCATATATAATGCTTATATAGTTCATAAGCAAGCATACTGTACGTGATAAAAGCGTTCCAAAAAAATCAAGGGAATGACAAAATAAAAAATGTAGGCTATCGGAGAGTGGCCCATGGGAGGGAGGCAGGACGGCAGGGCACAGCGTGCACGGTAGATACAAGGCATTGGTAATGTTCTGCCTCTTGAGTGAGTGGTTCAGGGGCATTCAATGAAAAAATATGCTCTATAATTTGTTTGCTATGTATTCTTTTGAATTACTATTAAAATGGATAATTAGAAGTGGATTTAAAGGCATATACAATTCTTTACTTGTATAGTCACTCGGAGAGAAGAGCCATAAAAGGTCACTTCTCTCACAGGTAATGAGGTTGTCCTTCGACGCTGTCTGCTCCTGTGTGCTTGGCTCACCGCAGCTACAGCCCTTATGGGGGTGTGTTAGAAAGAAAATGAGCAGAAGCTTTAGGGTAGAGTACTTGCCACTGCACTAGTTGCCTAATTTTTAGTTTATTTTCCTCACCTATTAATGGCATGCTAATAATTGCTCCTATCTCACAGTGCCAGTGTGAGGATCAAATGAGATGTCTGCAAAGGCATTTTATAAATCATAAAGCGCTTTCTATAAATGGCAGTGATTTTGTGAAAGCTGAAGGTTAAGGGGCCCTGAGGTTAGTGAGTTTTCTACTAGGGCCTCTGGATCCAGAGGAGCAGCGTGTACCTTGATGAGTTGATTATTCTTCACATAGTGCAAAGTGTTTGACCGATTACCTCCAGCAACCACAGGTGGGTAGGCTAAGATGTTTGCTCCCCTGGCCCGGCATTCAAATTCAAACTGGAAAACAACAGCAGCAAAGTGTGACTAAAAGTATGACCGAAGAGAGGATGTCCTTAGGGCTGTCCCAGCCAAGGCTCTCCGCAACAGCCACAGCTCCACTCGAGTGCTCTTTCCTTCAGTCATTACTGGAAAACCATTCATCACATCCAACAAAACTTCTTAGGGCGTAATTTCAGGCCACTTCTCTTATTCTTATCCCTGTTATTCAATCCTACTTTTAAATCTGTTCTTTTCTTCTGAATACCCTAAATATCCTGTGATTTTCAAATTAAGTACAGAAGAGGACACAGAAAACCTGTGATAGAGGCTGAGCAAAGAGATACAGTCATGTTATGTTACTGTTTGTTTATTCTTAAACACTGGAATATGGCTTGCATTTTTAACAGCTATAAATGACTAATATCAACATTTCAAATAGCTACCAACCTACATGCTCTGGAAAATTTTAAAAAGATGCTAGGCACATTGTAAGTTCTATGAACCTCCCTTGTCCTAGGATGGAGCTCGAGACTGGCAACCACCTGCTACTGTCTACAGCCTGGTCTCTGCTTCTCTGCCTTCACACTTACTTAGTCTTCTCGTCACACACTTGTGTAAGCTTTGCCTTCTTCAATGGTTCTACTCTGAAATTTTCTTCATTTAACTGTAGCTTTGCACATTTAAGACTCACCTAATAAATTATCAGTGATATTTAAGAACCAGATCCTCTCCACTGATATCCTGGTCAGTTCCACGAAAGTCAAACGGATGCCATCTGCACACTAATGAAATTACTTTATATTTGGCTTCCCTAAGAGCTTTCCAATAACTTAAAGCTCACCTTTGCATAAAGAAAGCTTTCCTCCACAGGGGCTTTACTGGCAAACATGGTCTCTATGAAAGCCTGCAAGGGAATGGAGGATAAAAAGAAGTCTCATTTTATAACTATATTGCTTATTCAAACAATCAAAATACTGAAGTTCAAATGAAAAGCACCCTTTCCCCCAATTTTGTGAACCTGAAGTTGTGACTTTGTGGGCGTGGTAATATAGATTTCTGAAGGGGAAAATACTGCTTTCAGAAATATTTGACGGATGACAGATTTAGTGGAAGGGCCCCAAATCTCCCAGTCAGAATACATGCTGTATGCTAGAATAAGCTACATGGAAACACATCTGTCATTTATGTAACGAAATGCTTCTGTAGCCCTGGAATGTATGAGATTATGGATGGGAATGTCCAGTCTACAGTAGGGTTTCCCAACCTCAGCGCTATCAACATTCTGGGCTAGATAATTCTTTGTTGTGAGGGATATCTTATTCAATGCAGGATACCAGTAGCTTCCCAGTGACAGTTATTGACAAATGCGCCCTGGCAATTAATTCTCCGTGACAGCTACATATATATATACACATAATGTGTGTTTTTCCATTTTTATAAACATGACTGTTTATAATTTACTATGATACCTTGTTCCAAATAGGGATTTTCTAAAAAAGGGTTTATTAATTATTTATTTTTAAGGAGAGGGGGAGGGAAGGAGAGAGAGAAGGAGAGAAACATTGATGTGTAAGAGAAATACTGATCAGCTGCCTCTCACACATGCCCCAACTGGGACTGACCCTGCAACTCAGGCATGTACCCGGACCAGGAATTGAACCAGCAACCTTTTGCTTTGTAGGATGATGATCAACCAACCTGAGTCACGCCGGTCAGGGACCCAAGTAAGATTTTGATTAACTTACATGAATACAAAAAATACAAGATAGCATAAATTCTTGGTAGGGTTAAAGAAAAGCAAGGTTTAGGGAGATGAAGCTCAAAAAAATAACAACGCACACCGCAATTACCATGGCTGCTGAAGACGGGCCACCAATTTATCTCGGAGTTTTCTAGCAGCCAACAAGAAAACTCTGGCAGTTACGTAATTTCCAATGTCTGTGGGACAAAAACAAATCAGTTGCACGGGGACATGACTATATGCTACTGCGAGTAGAAAGGAATTTCTCTCGAGCTGTTACATTCTAAGAGCGAAGGCAATGTATGAAGGAATGTCTGAATAAAATGCTTCAGTATACATGCCATGACAGCACTGTAAAGCCCAGCAGAGGACAAGCAAGTGGGATGGCCAGGGGACTGTCTGCATGGCTTGCTCCCCTTTCTCATTCTGATCTTTCTCCACGTGTTCTGTCCCTCTAGGACCCCCTAAATTAGCGCTTTCCATCATGCTCTCTCTCCTGTTGCTTCACTTCACAGCATTAAATTCCAGCCGACTGTTTATCATATGTTCGTCTCCTGTCTCTCCTCAATGTGAATGTAAGGACAGGGACACATGGATGATTTGTTTTGCTCACCGCTGTATCCTTAGAACCCAGAGCGGTGCCTGGTACCACAGTAGTTATGCTACTATAAGTACCTGCTGAATGAATTAGCAATTAAAATTAAAGTTAAAAGTAGTTATCAAGACACACACAGATGTTGATAAATAACTAGTTAACACTAGATATTTAGTATGAAGCTAAAAATGAAAAACAATGTGGCAGTGCTAGTGAGGCATTTCATTTAAAAGAGGGTTTTCTTTATCTTTTTCTTAATTTCCTTTCAAAGATTTACTGAATAGCACAGAGAATTTTTGCATTCATGGCCCCTTTACACTGCTACGTAGACTTAAATGAATAGAAGAGTTCTTCTTGCTTTCTAGGGGGTCAACTGCCTGATCGTGCTTTCTTTTTGTACTGAATGTGCCTGTGATGAGTGCATTACTTCACAGACGACAGCGCATGGATCAATGCTACCTATCCTTACTCTGTGTGTGATGTCCTTCCTGTAAAGATCAAGGGGCAGACTTTATGGCTGTCGCTTCTCATCAGGGTTGTCTTCTCACAACGTAGTTCATACTCCCAATTGACACTTGGTGCTCTCACTTCACCAGGTGCTATTTAAATATTTGTATTTTGATTCTTTAAAAATGTGAAATGGGTTTTGTGGGGGGGTTTTTTTTGCCTTTCACTCTGCATCTCATAATCAGTACACATCATGAGTAGACATTGTATAGCTTATGTGCAGGGACAATGAAAAGAAAAAGCAGGGATGATTTCATAAAGGTGTTGGGTGTGTGGTCCACATGTGGGTGATGTGAAAGTAGGGAGAATGTGACATTTGAGACTGTTCAGTATGGCTGGAGAGTCAAGCATATGTGGAAGAATGAGCCATGAAGCTGGAAGAGAAGGCAGAAAGGGCCAGATCATGAAAGGCCACAAATGAGCATGTTGAAATTTAATCCTAAAAACAACAAAGAGCCACCAGAGAACTTTAAGTAGGAGAGGGGCAGACTGATTTATAAAGATCACTCCAGCTGGGGTAGAGTTAGATATAGGCACTAACAGAGGCAAGGAGACAGATAGCAAAGGGATACTAGCTGTCCTATTGTGCACTAGGCACAGACCAAAACAACACATCTTGGTATTTAAACCCAGGTCTGTCTCTTTTCCACTACACTATTCTGCCTCCTTAGGAGTGAACTTGGGGACTACTTAATTAGATACAAGGGCTGGGGAGAACTATTACATAGATAATTTTCCTATTTCTAATGTAGCTGGGTAGATGTTGCTATTATTAACCATGAAAAAGAATGCAAGGTAAGAGTCAGTTCTGGTAGAACTGGCAGAGCACAAACTTAGATAATTATAGGAAATTCAGGTAGAGATGTCCAGGAGGCAGGATATATGTGCAGCCGTAGGAGAGGTCTGGCCTGGACAGGTCTGACTCTCATCCCACTGTTACTTCTGCCCATACATACTACCAACTCTCCGTTCTGTAAATGTTACTTAACTCGAATGGCAAGGCCCTTTACTTGTTTTAAACCAAAACAGACTGCAAGAAAATGCAACTGATCAGTATCACATAGGCGCAAATTCTATTGGCTTATGCCCCAAAAGAAGGGAAATCTGCATTTGGGCTGAAAAAATATAAATACAGCATAATTATTTTTTTAAACGATTTTATTTATTTATTTTTAGAGAGAGGGGAGAGGAGGGAGAAAGAGAGAAAAAGAAACATCCACGTGTGGTTGCCTCTCACACCCGCAACAGGGGACCTGGCAAGCAACCCAGGCACGTGTCCTGACTGGGAATCAAACCAGTGACCCTTTGGTCTGCAGGCTGGCACTCAATTCACTGAGCCACACCAGTCAGGGCTAAATACAGCATAATTATTCTTAAGGAAACTATTTTGCCCAAGTATCCAAAAATCTTTTAATTGTATTTTATTGATTATGCTGTTATAGTTGTCCCAGTTTTCCTCCCTTTACTCCCTTCCACCCAGCACCTCCTACTCCCTCTGGCAATACCCACACCATTGTTCATGTCCAGAGGTTATGCACGTAAGTTCTTTGGCCACTCCGCTTCCTATACTGTACTTTACATCCCCATGGCTATTCTATAACTACCTATTTGTATTTCTTAATCCCCTCACCTCTTCACCCATTCCCCCACAGGCCCCTCCCACCTGGCAACCATAAAAACATTCTTCATATCCATGATCCTGTCTCTGTTATACTTGTTTGCTTAGTTTGTTTTTTAGATTAAATTGTTGACAGGTATGTAATTATTGCCATTTTAAAGTTCATAGTTTTAATATTTTCGTAATTAATTCCCTTTAACATTTCATATAATGGTTTGGAGATGAAGAACTCTAGTTTTTTTCTTGTATGGGAAGCTCTTTATCTGCCCTGTGATTCTACATGATAGCTTTGCTGGATAGAGCAATCTTGGTTGTGGGTCCCTACTTTCATGACTTTGAATATTTCTTGACAGTCCCTTCTAGCCTGCAACATTTGAGAAACCAGCTGAGTCTTATGGGGACTCCCCTGTAGGTAATTAACTTCCTTTTCATGCTGATTTTAAGTTTCTCTCTTTATCTTTAACCTTTGGCATTTTAATTATGATATATCTTGGCATGGGCCTTTTCACAATCATCTTGTTTGGGACTCTGTACTTCCTGGATTTTTATGTCTATTTTGTTCACCAAATTAGGAACATTTTCTTCCATTATTTTTTTCAAATAGATTTCCAATTTCTTGCTCTTTCTCTTCTCCTTCTGTCACCCCTATGATGCAAATGTTGGTCCTCTTAAAGTTGTCCCAGAGCTGCTTATACTGTCCTCATTTTTTGGGATTCTTTTTCCTTGTTGTTGTTCTGATTGGTTGTTTTTTGGTTCTCTATGTTCCAAACCACTGATTTAATTCTCAGCTTTATTCATTTTACTATTGTTTCCCTGTAAATTGTCCTTTATTTCAATTAGTATATCCTTCATTTCTGACTGGATCCTTATGCTGTTGAGGTTCTCACTAAGTTACCTGAGCATCCCTATAACCAGTGTTTTGAACTCTGTATCTGATAGATTATCTCCATTTTAATTCTTTTTCTGGAGTTTTGATCTGTTCTTTCATTTGGGCCATGTTTCTTTGTCTCATTTTGGCAGCCTTCCTGTGTTTGTTTCTATGTATTAGGTAGAGCTGCTATGACTTCTTGTCTTGGTATCATGGCCTCAGGTAGTAGGTGTCCCATAGGGTCCAGTGGCACATTTTCCCCTATCACCCAAGCTGAGTGCTCAAGGTGTACCCTTTGTGTGGACTCAGTACACCCTCCTCTTGTAGTTGAGCTTTGGTTGCTGTTGACAGATGAATAAGAAGGATTTACCCAGGCAAGTCAGTTGAATGGTTGGCTGTGACCACTGACCAAAAACCTCAACCCTCTGTGGAGGATCAGTTGTGCAGGGGCAGGGTGGAGATGCTCCAAAGCGGTCTGTAGCTGTCCACTGGGAGCGCAGGCCCTGGGGTTTCCTGGGTGGTGGAGGCCAAAGTCAGCCCCTCATCTGCGTTTTGCTCAGGGCCACCCTGCCTGAGCTTAGAGCAATCTGAGATGGCTGCTACTTGTGCTGGGCTTGAAGGTTCCTAGGCGAAGCCACAGTGTGAATCTAGGCTGGCTGCTGCTAGTGCCAGGCCTGGGGCCACTCAGCAAGAGGTACAGGGACTGGTGGCTCACTGAGACCAACTGTTACTTGTTTGAAAAGATTTCAGAATTTATGAAGCTTGAGCCAAGACCAGCCATTCATATGGAAAAGTTACTGTTAACCACAGAAAGTTGGGTGGGATGGAGCCTCAGGGTATCTCCAGGGTGGGGCAAACAGTGTTAGCCAGGTTGATGGAGTCTGAGATACAGTCGTACCTGCCTGCTCTGTAGCTCTGTCCACTTTTCTGTCTGGGAGAAACCTGTCCACCAGCTCTCACCTTGATGCCAGCCATTTCAGTTCCTCCCTATATGCCACTGGTGCCTTTCAAGCCGCTACCCTGGTGCCAGAACTCAGACGGAGTGAGTCTGAGTACATTCATGTGTGGGCTCCCAGCAGAGGAACTGCTTGGAACTCTAGCAGTTTCTTCCACCAACTCAATCTCTGGTGGTTTTTGCAGCCAGAAGTTATGGGGACTTATCTTCCTGGCACTGGTACCCCGAGCTGGAGGGCCTGGTGTGGGGCTGGGATTCCTCACTCCTGAGATACCCTTCCTGAATTTTTACCTACCACATGTGGATGTGGGACCATACTGTTCCACATCTGCGCCCCCTCCTATCAGACTGGATGGATGCCGTTTCTTTAATCCCATAGTTGTCAGATTTCCATTAAACTTGATTTCTGCCAGTTCTGAGTGACGGTTGTTTTATAATTTAGTTGTAACTTTGATGTGGTTGTGTGTGGAGGTGAGCCATGGTTACCTATGCCGTCATCTCAACCTCAAGTCCCCCCAGATCCTTACAGTGTAATTCTAGACCAGAACTGGGAATACTCAAAGAATATGATCATTGGTAGAGGTTGTTCATTAAGAAAACTAAGTGCAAACTCCATTTCCCTATCTGATGTCTTTACTGGGTTGGTAAATAACGGGAACAATAGATTAGATTTAATACTTCTGAATTTTGGCATAACACTTAAAAGAGCCTCTCAGGGTATAGTGTGGACAAGTGACAGAAGTGTGGATCAGAGTACTCCTAGGTAGCTTTATAACTGATTTTACACCTTGTGCAAAGACATCTGGTCAATGGACTGATACTTTTTCTGGATAGCTATCCCACAGATCTATTCTTAGCTTCTTCTCTTCCTTACTTTAAAAATCAATGACTTGAAGAAAAACAAAGACATACGTTTATCACATCTGTAATTGGTTTTAAGTAGTCTTTGCTGTGTGGCCACAGCTGGAACACTGGCCGTGTACTTGAAGAAAGGCCCTGACAAACTAGAGCACATGCTCGTGAGAGTTACCAGTTCGGCGCAGAGCTAAGGGAATCAATGTTTAACTTTGGGAAGACTATAGGCAGAACTCAGAAAAGGAGGCTTCAAATGTTGGTGTGCTATTATTTTATGAAGTTAATTCAGTAGGCCTGGAATTAGCTTGAACTATTTTGTAAAAGTTCCTGCATGTAAATTGCTCCTGGGAAAGGCCTGAAACATACTGATTAACAGTGTTGGTAGGAGTTTCAGCACAGTTTGTATCAGTTTTTAGTATTGGTTTGTATTTGGTTTCCATGAGAACTCCAAAGGACTTAGTTACCTAGCAGGAATCTGCCAATATAACCAAAACCAGGAAAATCTCTAGCTGAGATTCCATTTTGGGCTCCCTGGTTTCTAGGTGTCCCACACATGCATCTGTGGTTCCTGATCCAGGAGAGAAAATGCATCTTGCCCAGGTCTTACTAAGGGAGGACAAGAGAAGCCTGCACCTGGCTTCTCTGTGAGATAGCCACTGGCTCTGACAGGTATTCTTACGTTAATGCTAGTTAACGCTGCTGCTATATTGTACTCTTTTCCTGTAATTGTAGATTTGTCAGCATTGTCATTTTGGGTCCTATGAGTTTTTTAATCAAACTGTTTAACCACCACTAGTATTGCAGTTATTATGAGGAAATAAAATTAATTCATGTTGCTCCAAGGAGAAACAACTAAAATCATGGGTAAAAGATACAAGGTGGCAGATTTACTTTGCTTTGCAAGGTTCTGAGCAAATCTCTATAGGTTTTCACTAAATGTGAAAGTAGAAACTAGATGTTTACCTGCCGTGAAATTGTCACATTACATATACAACCTCAAGGTGTCCACTGAACCTAAGAGCCTAGATTTTTTTTCATCTGAAAACAGCTTTTCTGGTAGGAACCCACCTGTGATGTCAGCTTCCCAGCAATCTGCATTCGTTCAATTTCAGCAGGAGATTTGACCAGTCGGAGGCGCTGTACCAGCTGCTGGACAGCGCGAACTCTGTTCTTGCTCCTGGCTTTGACCTCAGCCACATGCTGCATATAGTCCAAGTGAAGCTGTGCATGAGCAGGCCTCATCCAGTCATACCAAAGTGTGTTTGTCTCAGCTTAAAATGAGATGAGGAAAAATAAACTTAAAATAAGACGAAAAGCAACATCAACAAATATCAACTGCCATAATGACTTCTAAACTAGAGTCAAAGCTATAAAACTTGCAGTGTGAGAAACTTAGCAGGGCCCACAGGCGGCATGTGGTCCAGGAAGGCTATGAATGCGGCCTAACACAAAATTGTAAATTTACTTAAAACTTTTTTTTTTTTTTTTTTGCACATCAGTGTTCATTAGTGTTTGTGTATTTAATGTGTGGCCCAGGGATGCCAAAAGGTTGTTCACACCTGCTAGAGGGTTCAGCGCAAACTCTCTCAGGACTAAAGTAATTGAGGGGCATGATCATAAATCATTGGAAAGGCCATTCCCTGAAAATGGCAAGATATTCTAAGACTGAATAGACAGCTCTTCTGCCCCAAAACTTCACTGTTCTTAAAGATAGGCATTGGAACTACCTAGGTGGAACTAAGCCTTTATTCAGGCTTTGATTTTATTTATTAACATAACAATTACTCTGAGCCAGAGGCATTGTTGAATAATTGAACACAAAGGACAGAAAAATGTACTCAGATCATGACTTTATGGATAAAAGAATTTCCCCCGTTTACCAACAATCTCAGTATTGGTGAAAGTAGTTCTTTTCTCGGAGCAAATGTTTATCGCTATAGAAGCACTATAGTTGATAGTATGTGCTAATCCACTCTTATCCAGGAAATCTTTCCTTTCCCATCTGCTATGTATTCTCCTTACAGACAAGCGCTGTTCACCTTTTAACTATAGAGACCCAAGGAAATGACCTATATTGGCCTGAGATAAAATAGGATCATTATGAAAATAATTTCCCCTTATACCAAGTCTCCATTTCCTTTCATTTTTTTCTGACAGTTGCTAATGAACAGCAATCCCAACAACTTAAGTCTAAAGGGTTGTATGTTTTATACAAAGTATTTTGGAACATGACAGCCAGCCATTAATTTAAGAAATCATAAAGCTACAAAGAAAATGATTCTGTGCCCCATATTCAGGAAGACTTTGAAGATGAAGAAAGTTCTGCTAGCTTAACTGGGTAATTAAATCTGTAAAATAGAAAATATTTTATAAATAAAAAGAATTCAAACATATTAAATACACATATTCAAATAAGTATTTTCTCTCAAAGGAGTCTTTGTAGCAAACAAGTCCAGTAAATTCCATGATTGTTGAAAGCAATTTTGGAATTCTGTTTTAGAAGCAGACTTCAGAAATGGTTTATATAAACCACACAAGAAAAACCAGACTAAAAATTTACAGTCCTACATTATTTTGTCTAAAATATTGTCCAATTTCATTATCTATCTTACTTCACACATTTGACTGTGACTTTTTGATACTTTTTACCAGAATTAATGTAGAGAAAGTGACTGTTTGGAAGGGTATAAACTGTGTATATGAATCACCTAAGAATCTTGTTAAAATGCAGATTCTGATTTGGTTGGTATGGAGTAGGGGCCTAAGATTTTACATTTCCAATATCTACTATGCATTTACAATCTTAATATGCATCACTAGGTAATTTTGATGCTGGTGGTGCATGGATCATTCCTTGAAAATACTGCCTCCTTTCGAAGAGTTGGCAAAAGCTGTAAGAAGAAAGTCAATAGACTGGTCAGTAATCTTGAAGAGTAGCCCATGCCCGCTCTTCACTGTCAATGGAAATTCTGAGATTTCAAATTAGGACAGTTAACAGACCATGTGAATGAATGCTCTAATAAGATCTAGCAAACGAATAGTCTTTCAAGTAGCCCAGTCTTGTGGAAAAGACTGGTGTTCCTTTCTTGGTGCTGAAAGGAAACACTGCTATGGATAATCACTTTAGGACATGAAGAGTGTTGTCTAAATAGGCAAGGAAGGCCTTAACCCCAATCTGGCCCATCCTCTGACTTCTGCTCCCATCCGTTACCTTTCAACTTTGGTACTAGATGTTGGAATTCTTCCAGTGTATAGGCTTCATCCACACCAGTCAAAGCTACTGCTCCATCAGTGCCAGATCGTGGGCCATCCCAAAGCTCTCGACTGGGGTCTCTCCGAGGCACAAAAAGCATGGCCTTGTGTGCTGGTAGCTGTTTGCCAGGGAGGCTCTGAAGGACCAGAATGCTATCGGGCTCTTGGAATCCACACAAGTACAGGAAATTGTTGTCTTGGTGGAAAGTATAGGGGATGTCATTGCTCATGTAGTACGTAGGGTTGGATAGCAGAACCACTGTGTGGTCCGTCCCACTCTGCTCTTGTGCTTCTTTGTGGATTAGAGACATTAATTTGTGTCTGCGAAGGGCATATTCCACTTGGGATAGTCCTGGAGTCACCTCCCCTAGAAATGACAAACAACAGTGATGCTTTGCATTTCTACAGTGCTAAAGCACCTAAGGTAGCTTACTATTAGATGGAGTCACCCAAGTTCATTTTTTCAATTTATGCTAAATCTCCTCATAGCACATGGGGAATATGGAGATAACTCAGGTTTAAAATTTCTATTCCAGCCCTGGTAGGTGTGGCTCAGCGGACTGAGCGCTGGCCTGTGACCTGAAAGGTTGCTGGTCTGATTCCCAGTCAGGGCACAGGCCTGGGTTGTGGGCCAGGTCCCCAGCTGGGGGAGTGTGAGAGGCAACTGATCAATGTTTCTCTCCCTCTCTTTCTCCTTCCCTTTTCCTCTCTCTAAAAATAAATAAATAACATATTTAAAAAATTTCTATTCCACTGTAAAAATCTGGAAAAAAAAAAAAAAGGTAGTTAAACATGGTTCTCCCTGAAAAGATCATTATGCCTTTAGATCTCTTCCAGCTCTGGTTCATTCTCTTACTCACTTAATCACATATTTATTGAGCATTACTACGTGGAAGTCATTGTTCTTCATATAATCAAAGCTGCCCTGAAGTTTTAATACATAAGATGAGCATTTAATCAATGTTGTGAAGTTTCAATATAAAAGATGAGGGGAAGGGTCACATTGTTTGGCTATGACTTCCCCAAAAGAATGTAAGCTTCATGAGGACACAATTTTTTTAAAACAGATTTTATTTACTTATTTTTAGAGAGAGGGGAAAAGAGAGAGGGAGAGAAACATCAATGTGTGGTTGCTTCCCATGCGCCCCCTACTGGGCACCCGGCCCACAACACCAGACGTGCCCTGACATGGAGTCAAGCCAAAGACCCTTTGGTTTGCAGGTGGCGACTCAACCCACTGAACCACATCAGCCAGGGCTCACAGATTTTTGCCTGTTTGATCAATATTATATTCCTAAGAGCTAGCATAACAACTGAAATATAGTGGGCACTTGATAAATATTTGTCAAATGATCTACAGTTTTTAACATAACAGATTTAAAGCCAAAAACCTTCCCTGATTCAAGAGCTACAATAAACTTCTGAATTCTCAAGGCATAATAATGATAACTTTCTAGTAGGACTTTTCATTTTCTACCTGTATTAACAGTGAGCTGGGTATGCATAACCTCCTTCAGGGTCAAGGCCACCTCTGTATCCTCTGAAAACCCTGTAGCACTCTCTTCTTCCTCTTGGGGATGTCATGAGAATCAAATTTGGTAGAGCATGTGGTTCATAAGGAGAATTTTTGGAAGGTCATGGATTCATTCTGCTAACTGAGCTGCATGTCAGCACGTACAAACTTTTGACATACAATTTCAAGAGGCTCAGATGCCCTTAAACCCACCCCTAAAACCTACATTAACAAATAATGAAGTGTTACATGTGAGTTGTTAATTTTAGTGCTGTTAGTAACCTAGCCTGGCTGCTATCCCAGTGATGACTGAATGAACGCTTCCCTTCTGAAATGGAAATGATGCCTGCTTTCATTTTATGTTCCCAAAGCAAAAGGACTACTGAAAGAATCACTCACAAAAGCTGTATCTTTCAGCCTGTGGTTAGCAATGATAATAGGAAAACATCTAATGCTTATCAAACGCTTACTATGCATCTGGTACTATTACTTACATCTATCGGTTCATTTAATCTTTACAATGATGCTACAATATTAGTTATTACTATTATTCCTTGTGGGAGCTAGTCTCCATATACAAGTATGGAAAGAAAGCCATGAGGGACTGCTGTATGAAAAAAGTTCAGAACTTTTGGTGGATGGATGATATGATCCCTGTTATGTTGGGGGAAAAAAGGAGAAAAAAATTTAGAAAAGAATCACAACTTTTATACTGGTAATCTATGGGGAGTGAGTTAAGACTGAAATTTTCTACTTAACATGCTTTATTATATTATTTGAATTTTTAAATGAGTATATACTTTTATAATTAAAATCCAAAATAAAGAGAAAAAAAGGCTAAAAAAGGCAAAGTCCACTCCACACTCATAAACCTGTAACTCTTTGTAGTCCATTAGATGAAATTCAAACTCTTAAGCCTGGATGTTAATGTCCTCCACTAGGTGACTCTAATTTATCTGGCCAACTTTTTTTTTAAAACAGCTTTATTGAGATGTAATTTATATTCCACACAATTTACCCACTTAAAATGTACAATTACATGGTGTTTGGCATATACACAGAACTGTACGACAATCGCAATAATCAATTTTAGGACATGTCATCCCTGCAAAAAGAAACCCCACATCCATTTCCTCCCAATCTGCCCCAGCCCTGGTACCCACTAATCTAGTTTGTCTCTATCGATTTGTCCATTGTAGAGATTTCATATAAATGAAATCACACAGTATGTGCTCTTTTGTGACTTGGCCAACTTATTTCTTATCATTCCCCCAATTATTCTGAAATTAATTCTTTCTAATGTCTTATGTAAGTCCCACCTGCTCTTTCCCTATTATCTTGCTCGCCATGTGTCCCCTTTCTGAAATTTCTTCTCCCTCCATAACAATTCCACTCCAAGATCTTAGGTGCAATACATGTTTGTTTTTAGACTCTACTCATTCAAAAGGCTTTCCTGATTAGCCCAAATCAAATTGATTTGTCTCTTTGAATTTTTTAAAGTTAATTATTTCATGTCCTTATATATACACATGTATAATTGTACATAAATATAATCACAGCATAGTGACTCTTTTAATTAACATTTTCGCCCTTTTCCTTAGTTGTTTGACTCCTCCTCCATCAGTACTGTGCGCGCATCTGTCATCTTGTATGCAACCTTTCCTATTCTCTTAACTCATAAAATCATACACACATATACCACATACCTGCATTTAGAAATTTTTTCATCATTAGTGTTTTACAAAAATGGAATACTATACACTCTTTTCTCTATCTTGGTTTCCCAACACAATACCGCATGAGAATCCCTCCCGCCACGTCATCTGGTATAGCTTCAATTAATTCTGCCTAATGTCTTCATAATATTTCTTTTGATGTTATCATAACTTACTGAGCCATTTCCATACCAGCAGGCATTTATATTGTTTTCAGGCTTTTGCTGCTATAATAAACATATCTGTGCATATATTCTGGTACTTTCATGCCCTACATATTGGTGCTTTTATTTCTATGGGATAGTCCCAGGAAAGGAATTGCTGGACCGAAGACCTTTGAATTTACTTAGTGCTCTCGTTCAGCACACGTAACTCAGTCAAGTAATAACTGGAACTAGTTTTGTTTCACCCATGTATAGATTACCTCTCCAGCAAATTCTGTAGTTTGCGTTGCACTAAGAAAATATTATTTTTTAAAAATTTTATTTATCTACAATCAAAAAGTTTTGTTTGTTTTTTTTTGCTGAAGTTGGTAAGAAATAAAAGATGAATAAGACATGGCCTTATAGGTCAGTTTGAGTCAGGCAAAAAGAACAGAGCTGGGTGTGAAAGAGCTCACATCACATTTCTTTCTTTCGGGTTTGAGCTGGCTAAGAGTCTCTAAGGGCTCTTGGGCAGAATACTGAACCTTGTACCAGAACCAAAGAACAGCTTAACTATTTATCCCCCTGATAATGATTCATGTTAAGTCTGCCAGTTACCCAACACTGGAAATTTCCCAATTTGCCCAAGCAGTAAATGCTCTTTTATAAAAGCAGAGGCTGGTTTTAATTGGTGGATTATCCAACCTTTCCTTATGTCTTTTTACTTTCTCCTTTTCCTGTGCTTTGCATTGGTTACTCTATAGCTAAAGTCCATGTAATAAATTCATTTTAACTAAAACAATAAATTCATTTGTGTTTTTCTTTTAATATTGGAAGGTAAGGAAATTCAAAATTTTAATGACTTTAATTAATCTATGTGTTAGCTCTCATTTTCATTAATAACAGTACATACATTTATATGTTAGAAACTAATTTTTGAAAAAAGATATAATTATTTTGTTTTCAAAATACAATTAAAGCAGCCCTGACTTGTATAGCTGAATGGGTTGGACATTATTCTACAGACTGAAAGGTTGCAGGTTCAATTCCTGGTCAGGGCACATGCCTGGGTTTCTGGCCAGGTCCGTAGTTGGGGGCACTCAAGAGGTAACCAACCAATGTTTCTCTCACACATCAGTGTTTCTCTCCCTCTTGCTCCCTCCCTTCCGCTTTCTAAAAATAAATAAATAAAATAGTTAAGAATCAAATCAAAGCAGGATTAGAAACCTATCTTTTATACCCTTCAAAGCATTCTTTGCTGGATCCAATTTCCTATCATTGACTATAAGAGAAATATTTAAAACACTGGCTATATTTTCCCAAACTTACTAATTATCAATACCATGGGGTAGATTATTAACTAAATGCTTCCAAGCTTCTGAAGTCCCCAAGTGTCAAAGAACTCTTGGTCATAACAGAAAAATTATCCAAGGAAAAAGACACCTTTTCTTATCATTCCAGGAAAAAAAAAAAAAAAAGGTGAAGTGATGAACTTTAATCCTAGAAGTAAACCTGGTAGTTGTTATGCCCTTTGATCACAGAACTATTACAGTTACACTGTGCTGAGTTTCTTCTGATAAAACTGTGTCTGCATAGACATTCTGGCAACTTTGTCAAATTGTAAAGTATTAAGAACCAAAGTTAGTATTTTTATCATGTGGAACCAATTAAGGATAGAGGGGCCATTCTAACGAGTTTGCTTAGGCACTCAAGTGCCTAGACGTCAGGAGCTTGGACTGTGCAAACAGCAAAGTGTCACAATTCTGAGATTCTGCAGCCAAGAAGAAAAGCTCTCCTGGGACATTTAAGGACTGAACCTCACAAGAGAGTAAGAAAAATGTTCTTCATATTTTATCAGCCAAGCAGAAAAGCCAGAGAGGAAAGTTTTATAAAGACTGAAAAATGGATGGAAAGATGCAGGTCTTTGGTGCAATCTAGGTATGTGTTTTAACTATTTCCTGAAACTAACTGGATTAGGATTTGAACATGGTCTGATTTTGGAGCAGCATTCTTGGTAATAATTCTTCTTAATATCAGGTAGTTTTTATTATACATAAGGAAATAGCTCATAACCTGATCTACTACTGTGTAGTTGGAGAATGGGGGTAAAGAAAAAGCGAGTAAATACTTCCTTAATAAAATAAAGCACAGACCTCTCTGAAAAAATAAAATAACCAAAAAAATAATTAAAAGTACTCTAGGTTTTATTTGAATATATTGAGAAAAATCAGCTAGACAGAAAGAGTACATATTGTATGATTCCACTTACATGAAATTTAGGTACAGGCAAAATAATCCATGTTGGTAAAAACCAGAGCAGTGGTTGAGGGGAGAGGCGGGGATTGACTGGAGGCGGCATGAGGGAAGTTTCTGGGGTGATGAAATGTTCTGCATCTTGACAGGGTGTGGGTTATATTCATGTATACCTACAAGATCTGTGTAATTCATTGTACATAAATTTTACCACATTAAAAGAACGTATATCATTCTCTAAATTTGGAAGAACTCTAACATCACAATTTCTCTCAGTTAAAATTTTTATCAAAAGTATTGTAACAGGTCTGGCTGGTGTGGCTCAGTGGACTGAGTGCTGGCCTGCGAACCAAAGGGTTGTAGGCTTGATTCCCAGGGCGGGGCACATGGCTGGGATGCGGGCCAGGTCCCCCAGCAGAGGGCGTGCCAGTGGCAACTATACATTAATGTTTCTCTCCCTCTCTTTCTCCTTCCCTTCTCCTTTCTAAAAATAAATAAATAAAATCTTTAAAAAATTATCTAAAAAATTATTGTAACAAAAAGAGACTTTTAAAATATTTCCAGATACTATTCTTTGGCATAGGTATTATGTACTGTTTTGTGGTTAAATGTGGACTCTGAGTCAGAATTTGGTAAGTTGAAATCCTGGCTCAACAACTGGGTTGGCAAGAGCTACCAATCTGCTCTGTGCCTTAGTTTCCTCATCTTTAAATTGGAGGTAGCACCTGCTTCACAAAATTGTCAGGAGGATTAAATAAATAAAATGCTTAGAACAGTAATCACAATATAAATATCAGTTATAACTATTACCACATAAAGATTTATACTTGAGGTTGTCATCCTGGTAATCTAAAGCCAGGCAGGACCCTGGAGGGGTCAAATTTACATGGATAACCACTATTCCTATCAAAGTAACTATTTACCCAGAGGCCTTGAAAGTCTTTGGCTTCCCCACACAACAACACGAGTCTCAAGAGATTCATGAGCTTTTAATAGTCAATTCTTTAGAAAATTTCTGATTCTTGTCTGGGGTTGATCTTTACCTCAGAAAATTTTGCAATATGAATGAGAAATATGCACAAAGGTTAAAGAGAAAAATAGACAAGTCATTTATTTTTAGTGTACCAGCATTTAAACCACATGAAAATGGCGGGGGGGCAGTGTATTGTTTGAATTTTATTTTCAGTGTTAACATGTTTCATTTTCTTTTTTTAATTTGAATTTATTGGGGTGACATTAGTTAATAAAATTATATAGGTTTCAGGTGGACAATTCTATAACTCATCACCTCTATGAAATCTGTTATACTGCAAAACTTTCTTCTTCTCCTAGTACTAAAAACAAAGAAATACTCTATAATTCTGCATTAGATGGATGACAGTTTATGGACTTTCTACAAGGCAGTTACCAGAATAACACACTTTGAAATGAGTAGTCAACATGTATCATACATACAGGTTAAATATATAGGTTTAGTCACCTAAAAATTTATATACACAAAGGCTCCTGTCTTTACTCTGCATTAAAATCTAATTCAGAAGATAAAAATGAGAAAAATGCATAATCAACATGAATATATAGTTATTTTTAAAATCCTGTAGGTATATAGGAAGTGAAAAAAAAGATACATTACTTAATAAAAACAGGTAGGCCTTGAACTTAAATTTAAAAATTCGAGAATACAAAATGTTTTTAGACTATTTCTCTGCCTCTTATGTGTAGTCTATCTGTAAAAAAAAATGTTTTGAAATGGCTAACTGTCAAGTCATCATTCAGTATGTGATTGATGGTGGTGATGATAAAGATGTGAATGGATTTAAGAACTGAGTGTATGGGGATGAGGACATTTTGTGTGTACACACACACACACACACACACACACACACACAATTTTTATATAAGAAATAACTCTAGAAAGATACATTTCCAAAAATCTCAATGATGGTACTCTTTGAGTGTTGGAATTACGAGTATTTTTTTAAAAACGTATGCTCACTGGTTGGAGTGTTGTCCTGTACACCAAACGGTTGTGAGTTCAATTCCTGCTCAGGGCACATACCTAGGTTGCGGGTTTATCCCCAGTCGAGACATGTATGGGAAGCAACTAACTGATGTTTCTCTCTCACACTGATCTCCCCACTCACTGCCCCAGGTCAATGAACATATCCTCAGGTGAGGATTAAAAAAAAAATGTATGCTTATTTGTAGTCTCTGATTTTTCTATACTATATCCAGAACTTTTAATATATGCCTTTAATTTTTCTTAATAATTCACTCTTTTTTCACCCTACAAACATTTTAACAGTTCCGTATGTTTTGCATCTCTTCATGGACAAAGACAACTGATTAATACTATTTACATAGCTCTTGCCTCCAAGAACTGTATTACCTGGTATTTTCTTTAACACTGATAATTGTTTTAAGATTTAATCTTCTTTCCCTTCTCATTTACTCCAATGTCCAAATCCTACGTCCAGCAGAGTAAAAATTAGGACAGGCATCCCTGTCTCTCATAGCTGATATGAACACATCTATGTGTATGAGTGTGTATTTGTGTATATTAATTTACATTCATTTTTAATATCATTAACATGTATATAACATATATAGTAAACAGTTTCGATCCAGCGGCCATTATTTTGACAATGATTACTAGTTTCAAGGCCTGGAAAATGCAGCTCACCATGTAAAGGTATCTCATCACAAGAGATCAATAATTTTCAAAGCCAGTAAAAACATCAATTCTACTTTTAAAAAATAGATTGAAGCTACAGGTTGACCGACAGGGGAGAGAAATACTTAAATTTATATCAACTGAGTTGCTATTAAGCTTACCTTACAGCTTTGAAAAACTCTGATTTCTTGTGTGTTGCAGTGGTGAGCTGCATTTCCTGAGTCTCAGCTGACTTTCCAGCAGGAATTCCAGTCTGATGGAGAATCAGCAAAGGAAGCCCTCACTGAGAGACACATGGGTGTTGTTCACTGTTGGAGACAGTGAAAGAGTAACATATTTCTAATGGCAGTTTAGATTATTAATATATGCTTACATGGAAAATACAGGTTTAACTTCTCATGGCAGAAGCAACAATTAATTTTACTTGAAAACTTGGCTGCTTTTTCCACAAAGCATTTGGTTTTACTCTTCCTACCTCTTTGGGATGATATTCATTCACTATAGTTCACCGCTTAACTGCCTTTTTTTGGAAAGCTTTTATTTATTTATTTTTAGAGACAGGGGAAGAGAGGGAGAAAGAGACGGGGAGAAACACCAATTGGTTGTCTCTTGGACACCCCCAACTAGGCACCTGGCCTGCAACCCAGGCATGTGCCCTGACTGGGAATCAAACCAGTGACCTTTCAGTCTACAGGACACTGCCCAGCCCAGTAAGCCACCCCAGTCAGGGTCCTTAACTGCCTTTTTAACAAAAGAAGATAAAAACAAAAATCTTTAGGCATGAATTTGAGTGACAGTAATGACAGATCTAACAGCAAAACTGGACTTGTACAGCAGAAAGAAAATTTAGAAAGGTAAACTTTTATCAAGTATAAAAATAAGTGAAGTAAATAAACATGAAGTTTTGTATCACCTTTATCATTGCTATCACTTCTCAAAGCTGTGACAATCAGATATGGAAATTTTACATAATCTCTATAGAAATATTTTTGTTAAACAAAATTTTGAAGTATTTAACACTTTCAAGAAAAACATGTTTTCTAAAATGTCTTTAACACAGTTCGCTAGGAATCAATAGTTAGAACACAACTGAAGAAACTATGTCTTAGAAAGCAATAGAACTTTCTTTAAAAAAGTCCTAAATACATAATTTTCACTGATAATTTTGAATTGTAAGGCTTATAGTGTTTATCACTCTAAATGGTGCTGTCAGTAGCGTACCAGTAGCCACATGTAGCTATTTAAGTTTATATTTAAATCACTTAAAATAAAACTTAAAAATTCAGTTCCTTATTTACACTAGCAACATAGTAAGTATACAATAGTCACTTGTGGCTAGAGGCGCCTGTATTGAATAGCACAGATCTAGAATATTTCCAGTGCTGCAAAAATTTCTACCGAAGAGCACAGCTCTAGATAAAGCTCCTGAAGAGAGAGAGAGTCATTGTTAAAAGGCCTTACCTGGTCTGAGGAGGTGAGGGTGTGTGAAGGGGCTGGGCTGGCCTAAGTATCGATTTGGAATCCTCTTCTCTGGGATGGGCTGGAGGGAGTATCTTCGCTGTGAACAGGATATGCATCCTGAAGGAAAAGCAAAGAGGGTGAAATAGAACAGGGAATAGAGAAGTCTTCACAGTATATGGACATTTATCTAAACGTAAAGAGGATGAGCCCTGTCAGTGTGGCTCAGGTGGTTGGGCATTGTTCCGCAAACCGAAAGGTTGCCTCGGTTGCAGGATTGGTCCCCTGGTGCTGGCGCGTACAGAAGGCAACCCATCAATGTTTCTCTCTCACATTGATGTTGTTTCCCTCTCTTCCCTTCTTTTTAAAATAAAAAATAAAATAAAATAAAAGTAAAAAGGATGAAATGGAACAAGGAATCAAGAAGGTCCTCACAGCATATGTACATTTATCTATCTCCAGCACTAGAAAAATGTAAATTAGTATCATCTTCAATATTTACGGTATATGGCCCTTCCTCTGTGAAAGCCCGAGCCTGTGCTGTGCCCAAGGAATACAGAAATGACCTCATTTTTACCCTTAGTGACTTTGGTCTACTACAGCAGCAGTTCCCAACCTTCTTAGCAGAAGGGACCAGTAACCGGTTTCGTGGAAGACAATTTTTCCACAGTGGGTTGGGAGGGGATGGTTTTGGGATGATTCAAGTGCATTACACTCAAATTCACCCCCCACTGTGTGGCTGGGTTCCTAACGGGCCACTGATTGTGGCCCAAGGGTTGGGGACCCCTGTTCCACAGTATAACAGAAGTCTACAGTGTGACTAAGGTACAAATAAGGAGTTATAGGAACAGAAAGAAGGCAACAAACAAAAGCAGGGAGGGGTTAGAAAGTATTTTCACAGAGGCAGTGTGAAGTTATGTCCTCAAGTTTAGAAAAAGAAAAATGAACATTTTTAAATTGAGAATTATGTGAAATGTGAAAAAATACGCACACACTATCTCATTAAGTCTTGGAATCTAAGGTAACTCTCTGCCTTCACATTTTTTTTGAGCACGTATCATATTACCTCCAATTATTTTATATTATCTCCAATTATTTTAATTCTTTGTATTCCATGATAGTGCAAACACCATGAAAACTAGTATTTTTTTTTTTTTTTTTTTTTGTTCAATACTGTTATCACTAGTGGCTAAAACTATGCCTGGCTCAAAGTAGGCATTCAGTAATTATATACTGAATACATAGTATAAATATATAATTTTTGAAATATTTAAATACATGTTGTTTAGTAGTAACCTTTAAGTGGGCAAAGACACCATCATCTCAAGTGATGGACCTGTGGCATGCAGAAAGCTTGTATAGCAGGTGACTTCTCCAGAAAGCCTTCCCTGACACCCTAGTTCTGGGGCAGGTGCCTCTCATGATTGCTTAGCATCCAGTGTTTCCCCTATCAAAGCCTTTTTTATATTTATTATTTATTATATTGTAACGGGGCTACTTGTTTTTATCTCTTGACTGAAATAAACAATATGTTAACTTCTTGAATACTTTCTTCACATAGTTTACAAAATCTTCATTTTTCCAAACCAAAACATGAAACAACTGGGAAGTAAGTTATTAAGGCTCAGTAACCTAAAGATCATATTAAGCAAATGGCATGCTGTGGCCATCAATGACAGGCCCCACTGATTTATGAGGTATTGCCTGAGGCTTCCAGAGAAACACAAGGGAAATAGTCCTGAGGTTTCAGGATGGTCTGGTATGACTCTGGACCAGCTCCACTTGGAAGGTCTGGTCCCTGCCCCAACCACAGAATGATGCCATAAGGAGTTCTGTGTCTTCGCATGTTCCCTCTGCCAGGATAGCTCCATTATTCTAGTCTGCTTGGTGAAAACCCTCTGCCAGGTCTCCAATCAGTATCTCCCAATCTTGAAAGGCATGCCCACATTTCCACTTTGCCCCTCCCTGCTCCCCCAAAATATCACTTTTTCCTTCTCCCCACTACAGGACCTCTAAGTTGAGTATGTAAATTCTATTACTTGCTTTTTTTTTGGTCTGTCTCTTTTGATGGTAGAAACTTTTGATGGTAGATACTGTGTTAGTTTCAGTTCCCCATCAGTAAAATGAGAATATCTGCCCTTATTGGACTTGTGAGGATCCAAGTAGATCATTTTTATTTGAAAAACCTATGTATATGGGACATAAAATGGTAATGTAAGGGGTGATTAAATTTACTTATTCCATTGTGGCAAAATGAAGCATAATGAGTATCTCTCAAAGACCTTGGTTTGTATAATAGGGTACCTAGTCCTAAACCTTGATTAATTAGGTTTTACATAAGCCTTAGCAAATTAAAAAAAAAGTCACATGCAAAGGATGGTTCCCGCTCTAAATCATAGGTTGTGGCTTGTATGATTAAGACCGACTAATTGTGACTTGGGGTGCTGAACACACAATGCAATATAATGTATAATTGTACACCTGAAACCTTTGTAATTTTTTTAACCAATGTCATGCCAATAAATTGAAAAAAAAAAAAAAAGACTGACTAATTGCACATCCATTCACCCACTCCCATGGAGAGGAATAGCTTTTTGCAGCTTAACTATTGGAAGTGAAGAGCAAGATCCGTGCCATGGACAATGATTACCTTTTATTTTCTTTTTTTAGAGTAAGTCTTGATTTAATTACCATTCCATATTTAATACATTCAAATATACCAGCATAAGAAACGTCTCAAGACATAGCTTTGATGTCAAATACCTTATGTTTTTGGTTTAGTCATTGTTCACACATTGGCCCCCAAAACTGAAATATGATCCAATGGATGACCCACCTGAAAGGTACGTGATTCAGCTTTCACTGACCAAGTTTTCTGTTCATGAGATCAATTGCTGGCGATACAGTACACCCCCCCCCCAAATGGGCCCCCTTATGTCTGAATTCCATCTTGTTTTTACAAACAGGGCTTTTACAAAAAGAGTCTTTCCAAACATTACCTCTTCTGAGAGCAACTGTTCAAAAGATTTATGTTACTAAACACGTTTCTTGCACATTCTGGACCCGATTCTCAAGTCAACTCTTTGAAAACACGAAAATAGGATTTTAGGTTAACCTCACAGAAGCAAGAGCGACTTGATGCGAGACACTTTTTCACCTAGGCAAATGTGATAACTGACACTACTCCTGTGAGTCCAAGTAACTTTGAAGACAGTCCCTCTAGGGTATGGCCATACTTTTTTCTCTGCAGTCATCTCAGCTTTCCAGAATACCTCAACGGAAGAGAGACTACATGGCCCACCCTCTTCCAGGCGCAGTAGGTAAAAAAGAAATCCGAGGAGCATACAGAGGGTTTAGGAGTGGAGGCCCCAGCAGAAGGGTCCGCCAAACCAGCGATCGCCTGAGACCAACTTTGATCACTCTGGGGCGCCTCAGGGGACGCAGTGGGATCGAGTCTAACCTGAGAGGCTGCGGGCGCTGGCGATAACGGGAACCACCTTAGTTGATGAGAGTAACCAAGGCATGCCGGCCTCCCACAAGCTTCAGAAGGGAAAAATGGAAAACAGCCGGAGAAGCGGCTGCCAGCAGGCCTGCGTCGCCAGGAAACCCAGCCAAGCGCCCCTCCCCTTCCGGCCGGCGCTGCTCGCCGGGCTTTCCTCCCACGGCGGCGCAGACATGACGTCACGCCAGAGCGCTGGGTGACCACCGCTCTGGCCAGACGGCCCTTCTGGCGTCATGTTGTCGTGCTCCACTTAATAGTCACACTCACAGAATACCCCCTTCCAAGTGACTTCCTGCAGGGGTGCTATCTCCCGCCTCCTTCAAAGTACCATGTAGGGGGTTGATCCATCCTGTGAACTGGCTAAAAATTGAGAATGTAAGAAAGCGTGCATGCAGAAGCAGGCAACAGTACGAACAGCCACACTTCTAGAAAGTTCTAAGTAATGCGCAGGAACAGAGGTGAGAGAGTGAAAATGAACAGGCCCAGGACCCGGGGTCACGAGACCATTGGTGGGCGGAGCCAGCGGCCGGGGAGGTTCTAGTTTGTTCTGCCTCGCGGCAGCCGCCCCCTTTTACACGGTCACGCCGAGTTAGCAACCTTAGCCGCGCTTGCTGCCTCCCGCTACTTTCCGGCCATGGATCCTCGCAAAGTGAGCGAGCTTCGGGCCTTCGTGAAAATGTGTAGGCAGGATCCGAGCATTCTGCATACCGAGGAAATGCGCTTCCTGAGGGAGTGGGTGGAGAGGTGAGACCCGGGCCTGAGAACCGTTGGGGGTGGGAAGAGGGACAACCGGAGAGGGAGTTGGGTCGGAGTTGGCCCGCGGAGTCGCCGCCTCTCTGGGGCTCGCTCCCAAGCTGGGAAAAGGAGGCGACTTCCGGGGGCTAATGGAGAGTCGGATAGCTTAGTATTGAGGCGGAGAAGGACGAGGCGGAACGGGGTCTCTGCACCCTGAAGTCGCCAGGGGTGTGTCTAGGGCGAAACGTAAATGCAGACCATTGCGGGTATTTAGGCACTAGACTCGAGGGGGAGGGGTGAGAGCTGCAAGACTTGATTTCGCATGGAGTTTTTCTTTTCTTGAAATCTCTGGTGTCCTGCTTAGGTTGCAGCGGCACACAGCAGCTTCTTTACGGACTATGCCTTTAAACAGTGTTGTAATAGTGGTTACAAATTTAATTAGTTATAAAATGATAGGTATATTTAATTCCCTTAAAAATTACAGCGATTCTGACTGCCTAGAATTACGTGTTTTGGGAATCAGTTCTACCGCCGTAGTGCCCTCACTTCAAACACTAAAGAGTGATCTTTGAAGCACCGATTTGTTTCCAAGGTTCTTGTTTTCTTGAGAGTACTTCGCCACGTGCACGGAATTAATTGAATAGGCATGGTGCCAGATACCAGGAAACGTATTAAATACAGTCTAGAAATATAAGTACGGAAATTTATTTTGATATTTACCATTTAACAGAAATTAGTGTTCTACACATGGAAGGGGAATTAAGGGAGAAAGGAAATCTTACCCGAAGTGATTTTTAAAAATCACTACTACTGTTGGGAATTTAAGAGATGACATACAGATTGCACCTCAAGGTGGTAAATAGCGACAGTACAAGGCAGTGTGACTTGGAGATAATATTACCTAAACATTGATCTGTTTACTTACCCATGAATAGCACGTATTTGAAACACTTTATTCCAACAAGCTTGTTCTCGGAAAGAAACATAAGTTACAATCTATCAATGTCTACGAAGGTATAATTTTTGTCCTGTAAGAAGTCTTTAAGTACTTATTTCCTCACCAGTTTTTCTTTCTAGCTATTATAAGATTTTTGCCCTTGCCTTTTATATATAAAATTTTGAGAACACTTAAAAATTACGGTAGCAACTTAATAACTGCTGTTAGTAATAACTTAATGATCCAAAAGCATCACTTAAAATATTTGTATACTTTTGTCTTCTTATACCTGCTCATTAGAGGAAAGTGCCTACAATTAATAAGCTGTTCAAATTCCAGGTAAAGAGAACATACACCACAGGAAGAAATAGCTGGCATCAAAAGTGAACATTATACTGAGTAGACAATGTTTTGTTCCACTCCTAGAGAAAAAAGGGGGACATTGAAGATGTTAAAACTTACATAAGAACAGTGTTGTAACTTGTGCTTGGAGTAATTGACTATGTAGAGAATTCCAGTTTAAGTTCTGGATAGTATTGTCAGGCATTATTTCCAAAAATTAGCCATGTTTTAATGTTTTCAATAGGTAATTCCAGTTTTTCTATCTGGTTCTATTTATCTTTTTTCTTTGTCATCCTAAATTGTTGGTTTAAGTATAGTATGGGATAGATGGGATAGTATAGTATGGGATAAAGCATCTTGGCATGTGAAGGAGCCTTATCTAAACTTTAATTGAATTTTTAACAAACTATTTCTGTTTTAATTTAAATTTGAGTTTTGTATTCTCTGGGGCCTTTGCGTGAGAGTTACCAGTTCCTTTTTTGTCTGCCTTCATAACAGTCTTCTTAAAGCAGTTTAAGATTACAGGAGATCTGGCTGAATGTAGAGATTTCTAGGTCCAGGAATATTCCTCAAGTTGAAAGCATTTCAGAATTCTTTCCATACCAAATTAGTCATAGATAACCCAGGTTTAGACAGCAAAGGACATTTGCTTACTTGCCGTAGTTTCTACCATTTTTTATAGCTTAAAATTTTATTTGATGCTGAGAATTTATTAGCTTAACCTTTTAAATTGGACAAAAAGAAATACAAAGAAAAAAATATTTGGCCCAATACACAGTGGGGCTCCAAGGAGACTACATTCTCTTCAGTATTTGTTTTTCTAGAGGGAGAAGCAGTGTGTGACGCTATTTCCTCCCACTGCAACTGGTTTACTTTGTATACTTCAGGTGCTTTTCAGTAAAATTTTCTTTTTTTTTTAAATCCTCAAGGCGAGGTTTTACTGCTTTTAGAGAGTAGGGAGAAAGAAACATCAATGTGAGAAACATGGATTGGTAGCTTACTGTATATTCCCCCCCCCCCCGCCCCCATGGATTGAACCTGTGGCCTGGCTGGGGATCGAACCCATAACTTTTTGGTGTACAGGATGACGTGCCAACCAACTGAGCCACCTGGCCAGGGCTTCTCAATAAATACTTTAAAAGAAGTGAACAGAGAACCCTTCTGCCCTCAATGGATTTAGGATGTAGTACCCCGTTTATTGTATATGTGCGTAAGTAACTAGCACAAAGTTTCTTGACTATTACCAAGTTAAAAGAATTACGACTGGTCTTGTGTGATGCCATTTGAGGAAAGTCTCTGTACCAGCCCTATTTGATAGCGTGAAACTGGCAAAGTCCCATTTGCAAGTTTTGTCAGTAAATAAAATTTACGTGTCTATACGTTGGCGCTGTCTTCAGAAGTTAACTAGAATTTGAAATGTGAGAAACTGTAAATTTAGCTTATGAATAAACTCTTTTGTGTTTTCCTCCCAAGTTTTAACTTTTTTTGTTTTTTTGGAAACAATTTCTAGCTTACAGAAAAATTGCAAGTACAGTGCAAAGAACTTCTTTTAACACTGTGCCCCCTGATACCATTAAGTGTGTATTTCTTCAGGAATACAACCATCATACTCAAGAAACGAATTACATACTGCATTTCATTGTCATGTCTTTTAAGCACCTTCATTCTGACACAGTTCTTCAGGCTTTCCTTGGTTTTCATGACCATGGCAGTTTGGAATATTAACTAGTTAGTTATTTTGTAGAATTTCTCTCAGCTTGAGTTTGTCTGATTTTTTTCCATAGTACTAGATTTAACTTAATATGTGTTTTTGACAGGACTATTGTTTTCTGAAGCTTTAACATAAGTTAGACTGTTGTGACTGGTGTTTGGATGTCACTCTAAATATATCCCTGGATGCTGCATTTGAAACTTGGGCAAAACACAGCTTAAGAATCCTGGTATATTCCTTAAAATTTAAGTGGAAAGAACTACTCTTTGATTACTGTGTTCTTTTGAAAAGTAGATTTTCTGTAGAACAGATTTTAAAAGAATTTTGTCATGTTTATAGGCCTGTTCTTTATCGTTGAATCATTTTGCTTTGCTCAGTGGAAGCTAAGATGTTTTGGATCATGAAATGATTCATTTACTGGCATATGGGAGCCACTTTTCCTTATTAAGGACACTAAGTAAAGATATTTACATGACTGAATGGTATTATAAGAAATTTTTAATTTTGTGTATTTTAAGATTTTATTTACTTTTAGAAAGGGGAAGGAAGCGAGAATAGCATCAATGTGTGAGAAATAATAGCGATTGGTTGCTTCTTGCATGCCCCCCCCCCCCCAACTGGGGACCTGGCACTTAACCCAGGCATCTGCCCTGACTGGGAATCAAACCGGCAGCCTTTTGGTTCATGGGCTGGTGCTCAGTCCATTGAGCCACACCAGCCAGGGCCTAAATTTTATTACATTTGCTATTTTATTTATACTTTTGCTGTGCGTTGGCTTCGTCAAAAGATAACATTGAGAATGAGAAGGCAAGCCACAGGGTGAAAGAAGGTATTTGCAACATGCAAAACGGACAGGGCTAGTATGTGGATATACAAAGAACACTTAGAAGTAAGTGTGACACAATCCAACAGAAATGGGATGAGAGTTGAACTTGACAAAAAAAGTCTATTTAGATGGCCAATAAATACAGGAAAAGGGACTCATTTGCAATGAAATACCACTGTACACTTATCAAAATGGCTAAAAATTTAAAAGATGGGGAATAGCTTAGTGTTACCCAGTGTGTGGAACAAGTGGAATTCTTACTGCTAATGCAAGTGTAAATTGGTTAAAAAACTCAGGAAAACCAATATTCATTTAAATCCAACATACATATACCCTATGTCCAGAAATTCTACCCAACTAAAATGTAAGCGTGAATATAACTCTAGTTATAAAGAATAGACATGCAAGAGTATTTTAGAGTAGGTTCCTTTCTGATTTCCAAGTTAATAAATCTTTTTGTTTTACATAAAAGTTAATGGCTATTTTTAAGGCAAATTTTAATCAAGTCTTTGTGACCTCCAGCTTTTACTATTATGGAGTGCTTTTAATCTCCATATATGGAGTGCACTGAACATTTTAATCATTGCACTGTTGCATGTAGCCCATATGTTTTAGAGTCCACCTCAAATGGAGCATATAGCACTAATATTTTGTAGTCTTTCACGCCCCCCTTTTTAAAAAAGATTTATCCATCTATTCATTTTTAGAGAGAGGGAGAGAAACATCATTGTGTGAGAGATAATTGATCTGTTGCCTCTTGCACGTGTTGGGGATGTGGCCCGCAACCCAGGCATGTGCCCTGAGTGGGAATCAAACAAGTGACCCTTTGGTTCGCAGGCCGGCACTCAATCCACAGAGCTACACCAGCCAGGGCTCCCCCCCCCGCCTTGTTTTGAAGTTAGTTGTACAGTAAGTCCTTACTTAACATTGTTGATAGGTTCTGTGACCTTAAGCAAAATTACATGTAGTGAAACCACTTTTACTATAGACTAATTGATATGAATAAGAGTTAAATTAAGTTCCTACGGCATTTCATCAATGTTATAAAAATACATGGATATTTGTTGTATGTAATTCATGGTGTTGCCCTCGAAGATTGGGTGAAAAGGGCTTGCCAACGTGAAGAGGAAGTACTGATGGGCTAAGTTTAAAGGAAAGTTGAAAATCTGTAATGTGAGGAGCATGTGAATATAAACAAGAAGAATCTTTTTCTTTTTTAGCCTCACCTGAAGACTCTTTTTCCATTGCTTTCAGAGAGAGGGGAAGGGAGAAACAGAGAGAAAGAAACATAGATAGGAGAGAAGCATCGATGGTTGGACTGGGGATTGTATGCATCTGGGCTGGGGTGGGCATCAAATGTACAACCTGGGCATGTGCTGACCAGGAACTGAACATAACCCTTTTGTTACGAGATGAAGCTCCAACCAACTGAGCCACGCTGGCCAGGGCAGCAAGAAGAATCTTTACAGGTCCCAACCAAAGCAAACAAACATTTTGAATTATTATACAGCAATTTCATAACTATTTCCTAAATTGCCTTTTTGAATTTAGTTGAGCTTTTACTGGGTTTTAATATTATCTACTGAATTCTAAACTAATAACTTGGTCAAATAATTTTGTCATTGAATGTGTCTTTGCCTTTTTTACTTTTCCTTTGGGAATGGGCACAGAGACACTGTATAATTACATTTATTAGGCTTGTTGAGGTAAGGAATGGGTAAGATTTTCTTTAATCATTATGCTGAAAAATAAGTAAAATTTTAAGCTGACAAACTCGTAATACTGAATTCAAATTGACTTTCTTCTTTAAGGTTTGAAAAGGTAATCATCTAAATGTCTTAACTTTTTTTCCCAGTGTAAATAAATACTGCTTGACTTAGTGAATTTTACTTCTCTAAACAAATACCATCCTTTTTTTCATCTTCCTCAAGCATGGGAGGTAAAATACCACCGGCTACTCATAAAACCAAATCAGAAGAAAATAAGGTAAGTTACGCGTTTTATCTATATGTTTAGTAATAAAATATCACAAGGTTTCTTAAGGGTGTTTTTCAAGTGCTCTCAGATTACCACTCTTGATTTCCCCAGGATCACTTGGAAATAAGAAATTTGTAAAATTTCTGTTTGGACATCGAATACCTGAAAACTGATTTAAAACTGGGAGTTTTGGGTTGAATAGTGTTCATTGTGTTTTAGGATAAATAAGAATAAATACTCTCTTTATTCATAACCTGTTAAGTGGTAAGTTCTGTGACTGAGTGCATTTGCAGTTTTTGTCACTGTATCTTTAGCATCTAGCACAGTACTTTTGTATTGTAGATATTTTATTAATATTTGCAAGGTAAATGAACAAATAGTCCAAATCAGTAATTTTCCATTTTTTCTGCCCTGTCACCTGACGGGGTCTTTTTGAGTGTGATCTATGGAGTTTCTGTTTATTTAGAATCCTGAACAAGGCTCATCTGGCATATGAAACTAGAAGTGATGCCTTTTTTAAAAAAATTTTTATTCATTTATTTTTAGAGAGAGGGGATGGAATGGAGAAAGAGGGAGAGAAACATTGATGTGCCAGAGAAACATAGACTGGTTGCCTCTCACACACCCCCAGCTGGGGACTTGGTCCACAACCCAGGCACGTGCCCTAGCCGGGAATTGAACTGGTGACCTCTTGTCCCTGAGGCGGCCACTCCATCCACTGAGCCACACCAGCCAGGGCAGAAGTTACATCTTTAAACAAGTGAAATGGAAGCAGTTAAACTAAAACCCCAAAAGTAGTTGATTTTTTGTTGTTGTTTAGATAAATCATTTGTCAGAGTTTGGTAGTTTCTGAGCCCTAGGTAGGATATTTTGCCATGTGATAAAGATGTATTAAGACAAAGTTATATTTAACCTATACTTCTAATCTGTTTAAAAAATGTTTATAATGGAAAGTATTTTGATTTAGAAAACATGACTGGTCTGTTTCTCAATGTATGCTAAAGCATCTGGTATGGTACCTTGCACATGGGGACCCAACAAGTGGATATACAAACCACACGGGTTACTTGTAGGGTGGGAAGGAAGTTTGGGTATACTCTGAATTCTTTGAGTTTTCATCATTTGTGTGTTAACAGTTCCATAGTTCCTCATTGGCCATTCCAAAACTCAAAAACTCATGAAACTATAAAATTCTTAAGTAGATTGGTTTTGCAGTAAAACATCTGAGTAAACATGTAACTCTTGATAGTTTTAATCTCACTTATTATGAATGCTCAAACTTTATTTTGCAGAAGTATCATGTTTGATTATGAAAAGTTGTGGGCTTCAGTGCCCCTGAAGGTGTTCTATAGTATATGCATCAAATTAGTTTTCTAAAATCCAAATTTCTTTTTTAAGATTTTATTTATTTTTATTTTTAGGGAGAGGGGAAGGGAAGGAGAAAGAGGGAGAGAAACATCAATGTGTGGTTGCTTCTCACAGTGCCCCAGTAGGGACCTGGCCTGTAACCCAGGCATGTGCCCTGACTGGGAATCGAACCAGTGACCCTTTGCTTTGCAGTCCAGCACTCAATCCACTGAGCCATGCTAGCTAGGGCCAAAATATTTTAAAACCTAAAACTCATTATACAAAAGGTTTGGATGAGGGACTGGACTTAACTTTGAGAGATATGAAAACAAAACTAAAACTTGTTTACCAAAGCAAAACAAGAAAGCATGCATGAAATAAAATACATGGGAATAGTTCATATGTAAAATTGTATAAATGAGTATATATAGGGTATGCTATTAAATACTGATAGTATTTTTGTCTTCCCTTTGCTAGGAAGAAAAAACAGATAGTAAGAAGGTGGAGGAAGACGTAAAGACAGACGAACCATCAAGTGAGGAAAGTGATCTAGGTGAGGAGCTGATAGTTTGTACTTGCTAACCCTCGTAAGATCATGTGTTAATTTTTACTGGCTATACATCAGTGTTATCTGTTAGAAATACAATTTGAGCTACATATGAAACAAATTTTGTAGTAACCACATTTTAAAAATTAGGTGAAATTAATTCAAATAATATACGTTAATATACTGAAAATATTAATATATTTAATGTGTAATCAATATGGAAAAACTGTTAATGAGATCTTTTTTCATATTAAGGCTTCAAAATCCATAGTGTATTTTGCACTTTAGTACATCTCAATGCAGATGTTACATTTCTGTTGGAGGTATTTGATTTGTATTCAGACTACGTAAAATTTGTAGTTGAAAAGCTGGGACATAAACCCAGGGTGTTCTAAACATACGTAAAAGTTTTCCAGTAATGGCATCGAACCAAACAATTATTTCCTTTTAATACTTGCATCCATGTTGATAAAACTGGTTCATTTCAGAAGAGTGTTACCTAATGCCATGAGTTTGGTGGGATTTCTGTTGATTTTTAAGACAACGAAACTGATCAAATAAATCATTCTGTAAATTTTGAACTCCTTTGAGACTATAAATGTATACTCCAATTATTAGCTGGGCAATCTCTTAATTCACTTACCCTATCTAAAATTAGCTTTAAAAAAGTACTTAAAATTTTTCAAATTTAGAATCAGTTGATCTTTGTTATTTTTAGAAAGGGTAAGATACCTTTTTAAGTCTTTTAATTTTCTAACAATTTCCATAACTGTATTTCTTTTTTACCAACTCTCTCTGAAAGCATTTTATTTTTTTGTGCATGAATTCAAACTTTTATAATTAGACAAAGCTACAGTTCCTGCTAGAAATTAATTTAAACAAACGTTTTTTGTTGGATGTTCTGATTTCAGGTAGCTAATTTAAATTTCTTTTTTTGAGTGTTAAAAGTAAACTCATTAAATTCAGTGTTTGCTAACAGTGTCTCATTTTTTAAAATTAAAAAAATTAATAATTAAACCTAATTGCTAGGTTTGCTATAGCAAATTACAGTTGTCCATCGTGAAATTTGCAACACCCCTCTTTATACTTGTCACTATTTTCATTATAGTGTGCTAGCTTTGGGGCTTAATTCTGCATTGGTATTATACCTTTATTTAGATTTAAAATTTATCCAAACTTCTTTAAACAACAGAAGTAATTATATTAAAATTAAGTGTTTTGTCATGATTTATATCAAAATATCACTGTAATTTGAGATACCTGCATAAGGTATTTCTTAAAATACTGGTGTGTAGAACATTTGAATTGAAACCATTTGTTGAAACTGACTAAATCATTGGTATGTCAATGTATAATACTAGCAGTTATGCACTTGCCTCTGTTCCCACTACAAAACAATCATAAATACTCTACAAAATGCAACAATTAAAATGAAATGTACTCTTACCAAAACACTAAAGTATTAAATTGAGAAATATTTTACAGTACATTAATTTAAATAAAGTTAACAAAATAAAATATTCAGTTAATCAGTTGCACTGGCCATAGTTCATTAGTTTTTAATAGTCTTGTGTCATTTTCTTTTTTGGCAGAAATTGACAATGAGGGTGTGATTGAAGCAGACACTGATGCACCTCAGGAAATGGGAGATGAAAATGTAGAGGTAAGTTTGATGGCTTATTTTCTGCTTTTTATACAGAATCTGAAAGTCCCACCTATTGCAGTGATTTTATGACAATTCTCCCAGGAAAAGCACAAATAAATCTTTTTCTGAATTAAAGCATTTAGGAAAGCATTTTATTTTGCTAAAAATATTTATAAAAATTCTCATTATTTTAAGTCCTACTCTCTAATAATAATTGAAATCCTTGTTTTCTATGTACCTGGTTTTTCATTTGCATCTGATTTGACTGTAGAAGTGTCTGTTAAGGGGATATCTAATACCAAATTGTTTTCCAAAATGATTTTGTCAGAACAGGTATGATAATGCAGTTAAAATGATGCAAATTGGTTCTTGGGAAAGGGTGTTGAAAAAAACTTAGTGCAATAACATATTAACGTACATGTTTTATATATTTCTTGTATTAAAATGGAGGGGGTGAGCCCTAGCTGGTGTAGCTCAGTGGATTGCGCACCGGCCTGTGAACTAAAGGGTCGCTGGTTCGATTCCCAGCATAGAGCACATGCCTGGGTTGCAGACCAGGTCCCTAGCAGGGGATGCGTGAGATGCAACCACACATTGATATTTCTCTCCCTCTCTTTCTCTCTCCCTTCTCCTCTATAAAAATAAATTAATTAATTAAAATCTTTTTTTAATTCTTTTAAAAAAAATGGAAGGGGTGAGAATTTACGAAAAATGTGTAAAAAGGCTATTCGACGGTTGATGTAAAAAAAGTTTGAAAAACACTGTAATGCAATAATAGCAGCTTAAGAGGTTAGTCCATAACCTCACCAACTCTTGTTACTGTCAGATTTCATCTTTGCCAATCTTGTGTGACATGCAGTGTCCTTGTGACTTTTAATTTGAATTTTCTTGATTTCTAACAAAGTTTAACATATTTTGATGGTTATTGATTATTTGCATATTTGTAAAGGCCTATTCTGTCTTTTCCCATTTTTCTTTTGGCTTTTTTTTTTTTTTTTTTTTTCTTTTACTGGTTTACAGTTCATTTTATATTCTGGATACTAACAGTTTGTTGTCTGTATGTGCTCCATGTATTTTCTACTAGTTTGTGGCTTGTCTTCACTTTATGTTGTCTTAATAAACAAAATCTTTTAGTGCAGTTAATTCTTTTATATATTATGCTTTGTTGCCTTAAGATTATAAATGTAACATTGTTTTTTCCTTCTGAGAGTTTGATACATTTGCCTTGTGTGGGTCTGTTTTGGTAATCTGTTGTTCTGTTTAATTTTTTCAGTGTATTAATGACACATTGTGTTGCATAGCTTTATGCTAAGTCTTCTTATCCGGTAGGGCAAAGATTCCTCCCACCCCCCAAAAAGCTGTTTGAGTATTTTGGCTGTTCTTGGCTCTTTGTTCAATATAAATTTAGAATCAAACTGTTGTTGATTTCTTCCTAAAAAAAAATAAGATTTTTTTTTCCCTATTAAAATTGCGTTAAATCTAAATCAATTTGGGGAGAAGGTACATCTCACTATTGACATTAGCTATCTATGAGTGTGGTATCTAATTTTTAGATCTTTCTTGGCATTATTCAGTAACTTATATTTTATTTTCTCCAAAATGATTATCACTATTTTTTTTAATTTACTGGTTGATTTTAGAGAGAGGGGAAAGGAGGTAGGGAGAGACTGAGAGAAACATCGATTTGTTCCACTTACTGATCCATTCATTGGTTGGTTCTTGTATGTGCCCTGACTGGGGGTTAAACCCACAACCTTGGCATATCGGGTTTATGCTCTTACCAATTGAACTACCCAGCTAGGGCAGCCTCCATAAATATCTTGTACATCTTTAAGAATACATGTAAGTATTCTTAATGTCTTACATGTCTTAAGAAAACATGTAAGTGTCACTATGTGGGAATTTTTTAAATTGTGTGTTCCATTTATTGATGGTGCTGTGTCATCTCAGTGTGTCTAGAGTTACAATTCTCTTTGCTTATCTTGCTGGGATTTTTGGGGCATCTTAAATTCTAGGATTGTTAACTTTCTTTAGCTCTGGAACATTTCCAGCAAGTATCTCTTTGAAATGTTGCCTCTTCCCACTTCCAGTCAAGATGGAGGCGTAGGTGGACATGCTTTGCCTCCTTGCACAACCATAAGTATCACAACTAACCCTCAAAAAAAAAATAAAAGAAGCCCCAGAACTGCCAGAAAATGGAACTGAATGGAAGTCCTACAACCAAGGAATTAAAGATGCCATATTCATCCAGATGGGTAGGAGGGTCAGAGACAGTGAGCCAGGGCGGAGAGGTGCAGTGTGGTGGCGGAACAGGCAGTCCCACATGCATGTGTGGTGGATATGAATTGGGAGGCATACCTTGGGAGCAAGTGATCCCAGCCCCAGGCCAGACTGCACAGCCCAGGGTTCTAGTGCCAGGAAAATAAAGCCTCATAATTTCTGGCTATAAAAACCAGTGGGGGTTGGGGCAGTGGGAGAAACTGCCAGTCTCAGGAGAGTGTGTTTAAAGGGCCCACATGGTCCTAGAATGTGTGCAAACACACCAACTCTGGGACCACAGCCAGAGGGGCACCAGTTACATAAGGGAAGGGGGTGAAGTGACTGGAGATCAGGTGGGTGCCGAGCAAGCCTCCAGTAGCCAGGCAGCAGCATTGTCCCCTCTGCAACCCCTACCCTATGTACAGACACAAAATGGTGAAGTGGGCTACCCTGCCCTGGTGAATATCTAAGGCTCCACCCCATGCAGAGTGAGTCAAAGCAGCTCCACCTTATACACAGGAACAAACACTGGGAGGCTGCCAAATTGAGGAGACAAAGAAATATGGCCCAAATTAAAGAACAGAGCAAAACCCCAGAAAAAGAACTAAGCAAAACAATAACCAACCTATCAGATGCAGAGTTCAAGACACTGGTAAAAAGTATGCTCGCAGAGCTCATTGAATATAGCAGAAACATAAGGGAAGAAATGAAGACTACACTAAGTGAAATAAAAGTCCACAGGGAACCAGCAGTGAAGGGAAGGGAGCTAGAGTTCAGATCAGCAATTTGAAACACAAGGAAGATGTAAACAATCAACTATAGCAGAATAAAGACACAGGAATTAAAAAAAAAAGAGGACGGCTATGACATTCCAAAAGGCACAACGTCTGAATCACAGGGTTGCCAGAAGGAGAAGAAGAAGATGAAGAAATTGAAAACTGATTTGAAAAAAACAATGAAAGAAAACATCCATAATTTGGTGAAGGAAATAGACATACAAGTCCATGAATCGCAGAGTTAAATCCAAAGAGGACCACACCAAGACACATCATAATTAAAATGCCAGAGGTTAAGGACAGAATCTTAAAAGAAGCAAGAGAAGGAGCATTACCTACAAAGGGGAAACGTTTCCATAAGACTATCAGCTGATTTCTTAAAAGAAACTTTACAGGCAAGGAGGAACTGGCAAGGACTGTACAAAGTGAGGAAAAGCAAAGACCTACAACCAAGATTACTCTATCCAGCAAAGCTATCATGTAGAATCAAAGGGCGGATAAAGTGCTTCCCAGAAAAGATAAAGCTAAAAGAGTTCATCATCACTGAGACCTTATTATGTGAAATGTTAAAGGGACTTATTTAAGAAAAAGGTCAAAACTATGAACATTAAAATAACAAACACAACTATCAGCAGCTGAATCTAAAAAGCAAAGACAAAGCAAACAACTATAACAGGAACTGGATTGTAGATATAGAAATCACATGGAGGATTATCAGCAGGGAAGGGATGGGGGGGAAGAATGGGGGCGAAAGTACAGAGATTAAGAAGCATTATTGGTAGGTACAAAATAAACGGGGATGTTAAGAATAGTATAGGAAATGGAGAGGCCAAAGAACTTAAATGCATAACCCGTGAACATGAACTAAGGTGAGGGATTGCAGGAGGGGAGGGGGTTACCAGGCAGAGGGGGGCAAAGGGAGAAAATTGGGACAATTGTAATAGTATAATCATTAAAATATACTTAAAAAAAATATTGGCTCTTCCCCATTCTCTCTACTGTCTTTCCAGACTCCTAGTTAGATATATGCTAGACTGTTCACTGTTAAGTTCCATTCAGGAGTGCTCTGTCTTTGGTCCATTGATATTTGAATTGTGATGCTTCTGTTTTTCACTTTGATACTTTGATTACTTTTAAAGCCCACCTGGCTATTTATAAGTCTTTTGCTCCTTAACTCATTTCAGAATTTGCCTTAATTCTGTTAAACCCATTAAATTCTTTTGCTGGTCTTGGTCTTCTGGGATTTTTCCTGACTGTTGCTCATTGAGATACCTTTATTATTTGTGGGTTTTATGGGTTAATTTAACTATGAGTTGTTTGAAATTTCACCAGTGGAAAGTTTCTGAGGCATGGGGGGAAGGCATGTTCCTCTAAAGGAGATTGTGTTTGTTCCTGGCCATTGGCTCAACTGGTTAGAGCATCATTCCAATAGTTTGAAATGTTCAAAGTAACCTTTCCATGAACATGATATGTATCTGGTGTCCTTTGATAGATTTTTACATCCCCCTCCCCCATGAAAGATTCATGTGAACTTAGAGTGGTATCTTGTTCTGTTACGTTTTAAAATTGATTTTTGCTGATGTGGAGAAACTCTGGGTTTGTTTTTTATGCTGCTCGTGTTTCTGAAAACTTCATTGAATGATCTTAGTTGATCTGATAACTTGTTGGCTTCCTTTGTGTTTTCTAGGTAAATATAAATAAAGACGACTTGGTACTTACACTTCTTAAACCTATCAAATCATTGTTTTAATTAGCCAGCACCTCTAGTAATATTTTGCAGAGTAGTGGTGACGGAGTGGGGATTTTTTTGTTGTTAAAGAAACCTCCTAACTTTGCATTTGTTTGCTGTGCTTGTCTTAAAATAATCATTTACTGTCTGCATCTTTTACAGTGTTTATTTTGTCTAGTATAGATGCTCAATAGATGTTTGCTGGAACAGATTATGAGATATTTCTTTTCTGAAGATTGAAGCCTAAAAGGAAGTAGCTTTAGTTCTTGTGAGGAGATTGAGTTTTAATATTTGTGAATAACTAGAAAGAAATTGGTAAGACAAGAGCAGAGCAACATGGCTTAGGTTGGGATGAGGGGAGCAAAAGTAATGTCTAAGGCAGAGTATGATGAGGAAAGTTTGTCCTTTCATGTAAATGATTAAAACTCACCCTGTATAATTTCTTACTCTTCAGTTATCATAATTATTCTCTTGGCTCTCTGGAAGCTGGAAAAGAATGACTAAAAATGATATTTGTGATTACCTCATTCCTAGAAAGTCCAAATTGCTTTCTTCTTCTGCTTGCTCTCTCTACAACTCTAAACCTTCCTTCATGTTTCCCCTAGATAACCGAGGAGATGATGGATCAGGCCAATGATAAAAAAGTGGCTGCCATTGATGCCCTAAATGATGGTGAGTGATTTTTACTCTTTGCTACATTTCTGTGAGATTCTGGATATTCTCTTCTTTGCTGCCACCAGGTAACTGTGAAAATAGTGGGAAGGAAGAAGGGAGCTTAAGTTTATTGAATGTTTTATACTAGGAAGCAAGTATCCTATTTTCCACCCAACCCTTCCTCATTTAAGAGGCGGAAGTCACTCAGGTATCAATTACCTTACCTTGGGACATAGACATATGTCAACATGACTCTACTGTCCTTGAATCTTTCTCCACTGGGAAGAGTCTTTTAAAAGGTGGAAAGTGAGAGTGGAATGAGGAAAAGTGCCAAAGCAGGGCGGGGGCTAAACGGGGGCAGAAAGAGACTTGACTTTGGTGGATGGGCACACAATCCATTATTCATGTGTGTTGTCAGGTTGTACAGTTGAAACTTGTATGTCACCCCAATAAACTCGAATGAATGAATTTGTGTGTGTCATTGATTCAGTTGGGGGACATTATTGTTTACCTTTGAAAAAAATCCTCTTGTTCTGATCAACTCTTAATATTCCAGTAAGCCTCTTTTTTTCAGGAGAATAAAAATACATAGAGCCCTGGCTGGTGTGGCTCTATTGGCTGGAGCTGAGTTTGTGGGTTCAGTCCTCAGTTGGAGCATGTATGGGAGGCAGCCAATTGATGTTTCTCCCCCCACCCCCAAAATCAATAAACATTTTTTAATTTAAAAAAAAAGTAAAAATCACATAAAACTTGCTATGTCTTTTACCAAAGGGGATGTAAATTGAATCTTTGGGTCTGAATACATCCTTGGGGGCATGTATGAACTATAAAAGGTAAGGGTACAATGCAAAAAAAAAAAAAAAAAGGTAAAAGGCTTTGAAGAAAAATGTTAGAACAGTGGCCCTCAACTTTTTATGTAATAAAACCCTTGAGAAATGATGTGCATAGTCATAACACTTATGTTCTTGTTTGCATGTTAGGTCCTACTCTTGAAAAAATGCTATCAGGGGAAAGTGCTGATAGTATTGTTAAAATTTATAAGAAAAAAACTACGCAAACGCCATCATAGCAGTGTGGTAGTGTGTTGCTATACCATCATTGAGTAGATGCTGATGTGCATTTGTTGTTTTTTAAATTTTTATTTATTTTATCCTTACCTGAGAACCTCTCCTACATACCTCAACTGGGGACCAAACCCACAACCCAGGCATGTGCTGTGACTAGGAATCGAACCCATGACCTTTTGGTTTACAGGACAATGCTCCAACCACTGCGCTGCACTGGCCAGGGGGCTGGTGTGCATTTGGATATCATCCATACACTCAGAAGATGACTAGTTTTATTTTCAAAAGAGTTCACTATTGATTGCTGTTTCAAGGTGGCAAAAGTAGGTTTACAAGATAAATGTTTATTATTAATAAACAAGATATGTTTATTATTTTCCATGTGAACAAGTGTAAACCTACTTTTGCCAAATCTTGTATTTTTTTTGCTAATCACACCATCATCTTAGTTTAGGTTCTTATCATATGTTTATGCTATTGGAATTGCCTTAATAGTTGGCCTACCTGAAATGTCTGTTTTCATAATGTTTGCAGTTTGCTTTATTGAGATGATTCTTATTTAGAATTGTTTTTTGTTAAACACACTCCCTTACTTAAAACCTGTGACTAATTTTTTGCATATATTCTGAAGATCTTCATCATCACATTAGATCTGGTAGAGTCAGACCCCCATGTTTACCTTCTCAGACTTGGTCTCTTCTTTTTGAATATTTAAACCTTTTTGTTCCAGCCAGACCTTACTGTCCTACAGTTTTGTTTTGTTTTTTTAATTTATGCTCTTCTTTTTTATAAAGTTCTTCACTTGTTTTAACTTTTCTTTCTTCTTTCGTTTTTTAATCCTCACCCGAGGATTCTTGATTTGAGAGAGAAACAGCTATCAGTTGCCTCCTGTACATGCCTGCGCTGGAGATTGAACCCACACCCTTTTGGTGTACGGAATGGCATACAGTCATGTGAGCCACCCAGCCAGGGCTGTTTTAACTTTAATTCATACCCATCGATGGATCCCGGCCACTCCTCTTCCTGGCCATTCCTTTTCCACAATGTAAATTTTTAAAAATTTTCTTTTCACGTAAGGTTTCTATTCAACATTTATTTTGTGCTCTTTATTGTGCAGTTTTACTATATTTTAATGTGTATTTCATTTGAAACCTCATACTGCTCCCATTTTACAGATTAATGAATAACCCGAGGGCTAGAGAAGTTTTGACTTCACCAGAATCTTAGTGTATAATAATAATAACTAATTTATTACTTATGTCAGTTAGGTCTACTGTCTGTATTTTTAAAAACTCATTTTCTTATTGACTTAGCAATAATTAACAAAATGGAAATAAAAGTTACTGCTACCTAAAGTCATGTTCTTGTTTTTCCGTGTTTCTCACCAAGTTATATTCATGTGAATATTTAACCTATTTTAATTTTAGAATATATATAAAATTTTATATTATATTCTAAAGGAATAGAACACTAGTATTCCAAGTCAGAGATTGTAGGTTCAGGTCTTCCCCACCTTGGATTTGGAGGGGCAAGAATGTAGTTAAACACTAGACTCACGGAACCCCAGTGCTTGGGTTTAAATCCTAGCTTTGGCACTTAATAGCTATATAAACTTAGAGAAGTTACTCATTACCTGTTTCTGTTTTCTCATTTGTAAAATAAGGATAAGAGTATCTACTTAAAAATTATGAGGAGTAAATGAAAAATTATGAGGAGTAAATGAGTAAATGTGTGTAATATGCTTATGGTACCACGTAAGTATTCTTACTAAGTATGACCTTGGTGCTTCTAGCTGTTTTAGTAAAATTTTATTACGATTTTTCATTTTAATGTGTTTATTCAAAAAATATCTATTGAAGGTTTACTATGCTCCAAACAGTATTTTAAATGCTGGATATACAGTGAGAAGTAAAACAGACCCAAGTTATTTACTTCATGGACCTCACATATTACTGGGGAACAAAAAATAACATTTACTATACAATGTCAGGTGATTATAAGTACAGAGAAGAAAATTAGAGCTGAATAGAGATAGTCAGTGATGAAAGCTGTGTTATTTACATAGAGTGGTTTGGCATATTAAAGAGAGGAAGCCACGTGAAGAAGGACTTTTGAGGCAGAAGAGCAAGCACAGAGGCTAACTGGGTGGGAGAGCATGTGGAATGATAACACACGCAAGGAGTAGCAGAAAGGCCCCTGTAGTTGGAGTGTAGTAAGTGAAGGGGTAAGAGCATAGAGTTAAGGACAGAGAAGTGCCTGAGAGTGTGAAATGGGTGGTGGGAAAGTGGTGTGGGGGTAGATAGGTCACTAAAGACCTTTGTAGACCACACTAAGGACATAGGATTTTATCCTTAAGGATGATGGGAAGCAATTAAGGGTTTTTTGACCAGCGGAGTTTTATGGTGACATGAATTTGTTTTTTGTCTCTTTTCTTCTTTTTTATTTTTTTGTTGTTTTTTATTTTGTTGTTTTGGATTTCCTTTTGAAAAAAAGATGATTCTTGCTACTTCATATAGATCACAGTGGATGGCCAAATAAGGGCATATTACTTTGTTAGAGAAAGAGAAGCTAAAACATAAGTTGATGTGCCAGAAATACATTAGGAATATAACCTGTGAAGGGAAATGGGAGAGCAGAGTGAGCCAGACGAGTCTGGAAAGGCAGCGAGATGATCATGGAGGTCTTACCCTTGTGTAGGAGATGGAAGGAAGGTTGTGTAGGAAAAGTCTTCAGCTATGGATGTGTTTCTTAAAAAGTCTTGGGAAGCCAAAGTTGGACATTAAAGGAGTTACACGTCTCACAGGAAGACGTATAAAATATACGAAATAAAGGACAAGGAAGAGACCTGCCTTGGTATTCTTAACTGTATTCAGTCATTAGCTAGGAGTAGCTTATGAAGTGACAGAAGATGGGGTTTTCCATCAGTTACACTTCCTACAACAGATTTAAGGTGCATTTTCCTGACCTCACAGAGGGAAAGCAAGAAATCGAGACTTATTTTTGTAGGTCTGGTGGCAAATGACAGTGCCTTGGATTAGGGTGAACTTTCCAAAATCCTCTCTTGTTTCTAGTGCGCTTAGCGTCTTGTCTTTTTCACAGCACTCCTAGGTAAAAATATTTCCATAAGAGTTTCGTTTATAATACAGCTTCAGTATTTATGTCCTAACACTTAGTGATTGCTTGAAAGTAATTTATACAAATGATTTTCTAGTAAGTTGAACATACAGGTTGAGCACTGAACAGCTTCTCATATCTTGGAATCAGGTTGGACACTGCCACGCTCGTCTCCCATTCCACATCTGTTTTTCTTTAGTTCTCCTTATAGCAACTATGCAAAAGCAATTTTTCAAAGATACCAAAAGGAATGTAGTGTTGAAACTGAAACTTGTGGAGCCAGTAGTGTGCTAACAAGCTGTCCTGTGGCCCATTGATGCACTGAGGAAACCTTGGGATTAGGGTGGTAAGTGGGGAGTCTTGAGGTTCTGTATACATTTTGGAAGTAGAGATAAGAGGATTTAGGTTTTAGATTGGGGAGTCAAAAATGACTCTTAAGATTTTGGGGTTGAGGTAGATCAAGTACAGGTGTACCTCAGAGATAATTGCGTTTTGGATTCCGGACCTCTGCAGTGAAGCAATTATCACGGTAAAGTGAGTTGTAATCTTTTACTAATGGAGGGTCTTGCCCTCAATTTGTTTAAAAAAATGCAATATCTGTGTAGCACAGTAAAATGAGAAGTGCCTGTAGTTGCCAAGCTATTACCTCTTGTTTTTGTAGAAAATTAATGGAACATAGCCTTGACCATTCATTTATGTATTATCTGTGACTGCTTTCCCACTACAAGAACAGGATTGAATAACTATGATTATTAGGGTCTGCAAAGCCTAAAATAATTGTTCTGTGGCCCTGCACAAGGAAATTTGCCCGCCCCTTAAACTAGACTTGAATGGAAGAGCGATTTATTTAATTGGGGATTTATGGGTAAGGGGTAGTGACTGGATTTGGAGATGGGATAAGAATTAAGAGTTCAGTTTTGAAACTGGTAGATTATAGTTGTTTATTAGCTGTCCCAGGATTTTTTCATAAGCCCTATGAATTAAGGAATACGTCTTTCGTTAAATTTAATTTTATCCTTTTAATTGGATAAAAGAAAATTAAATTAATGGAATAAAATTGATTCCTTAAATTTGATCCATTTACTTTTTCTCAATTAAAATTAATACGAGTCTGAAGAGTACGGTATTTTCTGTCTTGAGTGCTTTACAGTATAGGCTTGATAAAGGTTTACTTTGAAGAGCTAGTTTTGTATATTAATTTAGAGACTAGTCTTTTTTTTTCCTGGTCTGAATAAAGAATATGAAAGACTAATTGGACAAGAGATCGACAATTTTTCTTAATATTTTTATCCTCTGGCTATTTCTCAGTAACTTTTATTTCACTTTAGGTGAACTACAGAAAGCCATTGATTTGTTCACAGATGCCATCAAACTGAATCCTCGCTTGGCCATTCTGTATGCCAAAAGAGCCAGGTGAGAACTCTAAGCAAAATAGCATCCCCTAGTGAATAATTTCTGATCATTTATTTAATAGACTTGCTTCTGTAGCAGTCCCAAAGATATTACTGTTTTAAATGAATATTTTTTAATATCACACTTATTTTTTAGTGTCTTCATCAAATTACAGAAGCCAAATGCTGCCATCCGAGATTGTGATAGAGCTATTGAAATAAACCCTGATTCAGCTCAGCCTTATAAATGGCGAGGGAAAGCACACAGGTAAGTAATAGAATTTATTTATTTTCAGAACTCTTTATTTAAATCTGCTGTTTTTTTAATACGTTTTCTAAAGTAACCCAAAATTGCCTAAGGATTTAATTTTAAAGTAATAATTATGAGGGGCACCCAGAAAAAACAAGAATTATCTTCTGGAGGGCAGGCCCCTTGGTAGAACAGGCTTCCCCCTGCTAGGTGAGTGTTCTAGGAACCTATCCATGTCAGTGTACCAGCTGGCGTTGTTGTGAGAGGCTGTTCCCCTTCAGTGAATTGTGTTTGCCCGTTTCATGATGGATGATTTATTAATGTACCTGCCTACAACATGTTGATTATTAAGCAGTTTTTGACCAAGAACAATATGACCCCTGTGCCCCACCCTCCCTATTTACCTGATCTCGCCCTGAGTGACCTTTTTCTTTGTTTTCCTGAATATAAAAAGTCCTCAAAGGGAAACACTTTGCCAATGTGGAAGAGGTAAAACAAAAATGGCAGAAACACTAAAAGGCATCAAAGTCGACGACTTTAAAAATTGTTCTGAGCAGTGGAAAAAAGTCTCTATAGGTATGTTGCATCAAATGGAGAGTACGTTGAAGGTGGTTGAAGTTTAAACACATGAGAATAAACACAATTTTTTATAAATTTCATTTTTGCGGGGGGGATTCCCCCTTGTATACGTATCCAATATGAAGAATTGAGAAAATATCATAAGAAACAAATAAAATCAAAGTTCTTCACTCCTTTCATTCAAAGAAAACCACTGTTAACAGGTTTTGACCACATAGAGCCAAATTTAAGGTAAGGATTTTTTTTAAAATTATCTAAATTATCTTCAAGAAAAGAGAGTGGCCTTTGTTAACCAAACTCAAAAACAAGCAGGACTTTGTCTAAAAATAAATGACAAAGATTTATTCAAGTGTTTTAGGGGGTTTGCAAAGCAGAAAATACAAAAGCAATACCCAAAGCTGAGGGTTCCCAAAATAAAAAGTACATTCTTGAGAAGAATCAGTTCCGCATTCATAGCCCCCAGATTGGTCCAAGATGGTAATCATCAGATGTCCTGTTGTCCACAAAATGAAACATTTCTTCTTGAGGTCATTCTGAAGGTTTGACATATGTCCAGGGATTGTTGTACAGTGTATTGGTGTACATCCAGTTATTGACGCAAGACTGGAAAGTTTGAAAGTTTTAAGTTCCTGGAGTCAAAAATAATCATTTCTTTATGCCTCAGCCTATTGGAAGCTTGACCACAGTGACTGTTTTCTTCACTCTATTTTTCAGCTTGTTGCAGGGTCCTTAAAAATGTTCTCTTATTATCAGACTATTTCTTTGCAACTTACATTAACAACCAATAAATTACAGAAGGCATTCTCTAGCCTCCTACTACTTCAGTCAATGCTAAGTCACCTGAAAAATCAGAAAAGGGGGCAAATAAAAAGTGAATTTAACCCAGATTGTAATCATTCCTGGCAGCAAAACAATGTTGTACAGAAATAGGTATTTTTTGGATTGGGGATAAAGTGTTCGATGATACTGACATCTTACGTGGAATGAAAAAGTGCTATACTTTAAGTGTAGGTAGAGATTAAAATGGATATGCTTGAGACAGCTGTACTAAGGTTGATTCAAAAAGTAGCTCTAGTGGTTATTAAGACACATGTCAAAGATACAGATAAAGGATTGGAAGAAAATTTATTAATGTCCCATCGGTACAGAAAAGCTCATGTATTACTGTTGATCCTCTTGAGACCCTGGTAGTATATGGGCACTTCCTTGCCTTCTGGTAGAACATACAGTGAGTTCATCTTGTACTTTGTTTGTCCCAGATTTGTAATAAATCATTTCTCTAAGAAACCATAGTTTATTTTAGTAGGGGTTATATTTATAGTGACAAAAGTTTGACCATTACATGTGCTTATTGCTTCCGGGATATCCTTCTGTCATTTCAATGGACAGAGTTAGGAAAAAAACATTTTTAAATAATGATTTTTAAGGAAAAAAATTACCAATTTCTGATGTCATACTTATTTTTAGTTGACGTTCAGCATTAAATACATTTTGTATTTTTGAAACTATTAACCTGGGGTCAAAATTTTCATCCTTAATATATTTACCTACTTGTGTTATCCTACCATATACATAAAATTGTTCTGAAGTCATACCTTAGAGATAATGTGATCTCTAGGTAAAGTTTAAAGGGTTGTTTTTTTTTTGCTGTAGTTCTTATTTATCCCACTAAAGATAAACTGTGGGATATACTCTCCCACTGTGATTTATGTTGTGAATGTGATTAGCTCCTTTTCTGTTTTTAATTGGGTTTAGGGTTTGCTTTATTTCTGTCCTTTCCAGTTCAATTTTCATCCTTAAGTATGTAAAGCATTTTCATGTTTTTTAAAGAGTCAAAACTGAGTTTGAGTTCACAGGTATAACCAAAGAAGTCTGATTTCCATTGCAATCCCCACCAACCTTTAGTTTCTGATTTATCATTTCCATACTTTTTAAGTAAAACGTGCACATGTGTATTGTTTTCTTAATATAGAAGGGTAGATAGCATGTTAAACATATATCATGTTAATTGTTTTTTTGATGAATTGAAAGTGGTGGTTCTACATATTTTTTAACCGTTTAAACATTTTTTTAGTAGAAAGAGCAGGTTTAAGGTTAATCATAAAGGAAATTTAAACTCTTTCAAATTTTTATAAGGTAGAACACAGTAATTAAATTGATTCATGAGCCCTGGCTGGTATAGCTCAGTGGATTGAACACTGGCCTGCAAACCAAAAGGTAGCTGGTTTGATTCCCATTCAGGGCACATGCCTGGGTTGTGGGCGAAGTCCCCAGTTAGGGGGTGTGCGAGAAGCAACCACACATTGATGTTTCTCTCCCTCTCTTTCTCCCTCCCTTCCCCTCTCTATAAAAAACAAATAAAATCTTAAAAAACAATAGGTGGATTTTATGGTATGTGAAATGTGTATTAATAAAGTTTTTTAAAAAATGGTTCATGAAAATTTATAGTTTAATATTTAACAAATCTTTTCTGTAACAATACTTTTTTATATTAACAAAGAAGGACACCATGCTATGTAAATGAATATGTATAAAAGACTCCTAAAATGAGTTTAAATCTGTTTCAGACTTCTGGGCCATTGGGAAGAAGCAGCCCATGATCTTGCCCTTGCATGTAAATTGGATTATGACGAAGATGCTAGTGCAATGCTGAAAGAAGTTCAACCAAGGGTATGTTAAAGTAGAGAAAGGGAAAAGTCGTTACTGTAATGCTCCATGGTTTTAGTACTTACCAGCAAAACAGATGGAAAGAAACATTTGGAAGTTATCATCTATAACTTCCCTCTATAATCACTGAAGTTTGTGTTCAACTCAGGAAATATTAAGTTTTCATGCTTTCATTTTTCATGCTGTGTTACAGCAAGCTCTATTACTTAATTTGCAAGCCTAAAATAGAATTATAACCGAAAAGAAATGAAGTCAGGACAAAAAAAAAAATCTGTAAAATGTGAGCCAAGATTGAGTTTATTCTGTCCTTATTTACCATAGCTATATATAGCCACAGTACCAAACATGAGGACTGTGTGGTAGTTAACAAGTTTCACTCTTTCAAAAATAATGATTGTGAATCCAAAAGCTAGAATATTCTGTCTTAAGATAATTTCTGTCTAAAATTGTCAGTTAAATTAATATTAATGCATTTACATGGTAAATTTTCAGTTTTGTTTTTCCTTCTCATAACAGGGCCAGCTCAGTAAGGTTATTGTGTGAGATATTCTAGAACATGAGGGTCTTAAAAAATCATAAATAAGCTAATGTAATGACTGAGTGTGAATCCTATTTACTTTATTCTCTGAGTAAATAGTAGATTCCACCTATTTGTCACCTGTTCTTCTCTCTCAATCCTTACATCATTTCTATAGACTTAGATGTTTCTCCTCCCAAATCCCTCATTTTATGGATGAGGAAAAGTTAAGTATAGTTAGACTGGCAAATAACTGGCACATGTGTTCCCAGTTTCTGCCTTCCTATGGCAGGTATCGGATAAGAATTGTGCACTTTGAAACTTAATTTTTTTCCGTACCCCAGTTAACTGAGATTTATAACTTAAAATCCTAGCCTCATTCCTCTGTTTCACAGTGGACTTGTTAAAGCTTGAGTTGCATCAAGTATTTTTCCTATCAAATCTGTTGTTGTTCAGAACTATGTCTTAAACACTCCTCCACAAGAAAAATAATTCTTTAACAAAACTAGATATGTGTTGGCTTTATTTAACTTTTAGAATATTTTTCTGTGGCTTTTTTCCCCTAGGCCCAGAAAATTGCAGAACATCGGAGAAAGTATGAGCGGAAACGTGAAGAGCGAGAGATCAAAGAAAGAATGGAAAGGGTTAAGAAGGCTCGGGAAGAACATGAGAGAGCCCAGAGGGTAAAGTTTCTATAGTTAAACCATTAAAGGGGAAAAATACAGCAGACTAGAGCTTTAGGATGTTATTTCTAATTCTTGGTTCTTTTCTTAATGCTGCCTGAAGTTTTGTAGGATAATGATGAAGGGAGCTTGCTTTCCCTTTATTGTTTTAATATCTGGAGATGCTTTTAGTGTTTAAAATTTTTTTTTTTTTTAAGATTTTAGTTATTTTGGGAGGGGAAGGGAAGGAGAAAGAGAGGGGGAGGAACATCGATGTGTGAGAGAAGCCCCTTGTGCATGCCCCAGCCTGGGGCCGAACCAGCAACCCGGGCATGTGCACTGATGGGGAATCAAACTGGGATGGTGCCCAAACAAGCCATGCTGGTCAGGGCTAGTCTTTAAATTCTTGTTCTTCTTGTTCTTTTTTTTTTTTTTTTAAGTATATTTTATTATGCTATTACAGTTTCCCCAATTTTTTCCCCCTTTGCCCCCCATGCCTGGTTCCCCGCTTCCCTGCTGCAGTACCCCCCCCCACTCCCCCCGCAATAGTTCATGTCCATGAGTTGCGCATGTAAGTTCTTTGGCTTCTCTGATGCCTGTACTGTTCTTAACACCCCTGTCTTTTCTGTGCCTACCCAATTATGCTTCTAAACCCTTTTCCCCCTTCTCCATCCCAGCTGATAACCCTCCAAATGATCTCCATATCTATAATTCTTTTCCTGTTATAATTGTTTGCTTTGTTTTTGTTTCTTAGTTTCAGTTCATAGTTGTGAGTTGTAATTTTAATGTTCATAGTTTTGATCTCTTTCTTAAATAAGTCCCTTTAACATTTTATATCATAAAGTCTTGGTGGTGATGAACTCCTTTAGCTTTATCTTTTCTGGGAAGCACTTTATCTGCCCTTTGACTCTAAATGATAGCTTTGCTGAGTAGAGTAATCTTGGTTGTAGGTCCTTGCTTTTTCATCACTTTGTATAGTTCTTGCCAGTCCCTTCTTGTCTGCAAAGTTTGAGAAATCAGCTGATAGTCTTATAGGAACTCCTTTTGTAGGTAACTCTCTGCTGTTCTCTTGTTGTTTTTAAGATTCTCTGTCTTTAACCTCTGGCATTTTAATTATGATGTGTCTTGGTGTGGACCTCTTTGGATCCAACGTGTTTGGGACTCTGTGCTTCCTGGACTTAATGTCTATTTCTTTTGCTAAATGAGGGAAATTTTCTTCCATTATTTTTTCAAATAAGTTTTCAGTTTCTTCTCTTCCTCTCCTTCTGGCACTCCTATTATTCGGATGTTGGCCTTTGTGCAGATGTCCCAGAGTCATCTTAAGCACTCCTTGTTTTTTTATTCTTTCTTAAAATTTTTTTATTCTATTTTTTTAAAAAAATTTTTTTACTCAAATACATTTGTCTCCATTTTCCTGCCACCACTTTCCCATGCCACCCTCCCACCTCCTACCCTCAATCCTTCCCCACTTTGGCTTTGTCTATGGGTTCTTTATAAATGTTTCTTGATTCGATCCTTCCCCTTCTTTTTCTCATTACCTCCCTCCCTCCCTCTTGTTACTGTAGGTAGGTTTTTTCTTCTAGTGTTGCTGGTTACATTTTTCTTGCTTGTATGTTTCATTTTTTTTTTAATTCTTAGTTTTTTATTTTGGTTAAATGTTTATTTCTCCCTTATATTCCAAATTGTTGATTTGAACCCTGGCTTCCTTCCCGTCACTGTTGGTTTCTGTGGACTTTTCTTTATTTCCCTTAATAGAGCCTTCATTTCTGCCCATATGCTTCTGCCATATTCAGTGAGATCTTTGAGCATTCTGACCACCAGTATCTTGAACTCTGCATCTAATAGGTTGGCAGTCACTGTTTAGTTCTTCTGGGGCTCTGTTCTGTTCCTTCATCTGCACCAAATTTGTCTTCTGATTTTAGAAGCCTCCTTATGTCTGTGTACTAGATAGATCCACTTTGATTGCATTTTAGCGTGCCTGTTAAGTTGTGGGGCAGAGCCTTAGGTATTCGCGGGGTGGGGGGCAATCATGGCTCTGTGGGGGAGGAGTCAAAGAAGGGACAGTGCTGCTGCTGGCTGACTTTTGGGCACTTGCCTGGGCTTTGCCCCATTTCCAGTCACTTCACCCACTTCCTATATGCGACCGGCACCCCTTCAGCTGCTGTCCTGGTTGTGGTTCCCAGGGTGGATCAGTTTGCAGTATGTTCTAGGCTCTCCTGAAGCTGGCAGTTTCTTTCACCGCCGCCATCCTCACTGAGTTTACTACCAGAAGTTACGGGGCTTTCTTTTTCCTTTTCCTGGCGCTGGAGCCCTGGGCTGTGTGGTCTGGCTTGGGGCTGGGTTCACTTGCTCACAAGGTGTCTCCCTGAATTTTATCCACCACATGTGAATGTGGAGCTGCCTGTTCCCTTAGTTGTTGCTGCCTTGCTGCATCTCCACCCCGACTCTGTCTCACAGTTTCTGCCCCTCCGTACCCATTTGGACGAATAGAGCTTCTTTAAATCCTTGGCTGTTGGACTTATGTACAGTTCTGGGTGACTTTCTGGCAGATCTGGGTGTATTTTGTTTTTAAGTTAGTAGTGTTTCTTATGACTGTGCAGTGAGGCAAGGCATGTCTCCCTACGCCTCCATCTTGACTGTAAACCTAGTCTTTAAAGTCTTAAATGAGTTTATATTTCACCATCTTACAATCATGTATAGGGATTTTTCCCTGTAAAGTAATAAAAACTTGGCAATAATTATGTTTTCTTAAAGATGCTTGCCCTGATGTGCTAAATTTTGTGATTCCTCCATTCCAGTAGTTAAGTCATAGCTATTTAAAATTGGTTCTACCTATTTATTTAGTTACAAGTCTTCTTATATAAAATTTAGGGAAAAAAATTATCCATAATTTATGAACAATACTATTGCTGCTGTTTTTAAGGTTTCTCCTACTTTTTTAATATATTAGCCTTTTGCATTGATACGATTAGTTCACATCTTATTTTTAACATTGTTGAATAAAAGCACATAAAGCTGTACTGTATAACATTACATTCTAATTTTTTGTCATTTCATATTTTTTAGCATCATGCTTGATTTTGGGGATTATGGTTTATAGTCCTCTTTTTTTTTTTTTTTTTTTTTTTTTTTTAGAAAGAGGTGGGAGAAAGGGAGAGAAACATCCTTGTGTGGTTGCTTCTCATGCGCCCCTTACTTGGGGACATGGCCCACAATCCAACCATGTGCCCTGACTGGGAATTGAACCAGTGACCCTGTGGTTTGAAGGTGGGCACTCAGTCCACTGAGCCACACCAGCCAGGGCTATAATCTTCAAAAGTAATTTTTACTTTTATATGTATATCCTTAATGACTTTATAACTGGTTGTGAGAAAAATTTATGTATGTTTGCTTTTACTTTGTGTTGAAGAAAACAGCAAAAACCAGTAAATCTATAGTTGTATTTGTTGTTGAGTTATGTAGGGAGAACATGGAAAAGATGAACCTGGGAAACAAAAATTATGGTAGTTTTAGTAATCTAACCATATGCTTTTATTTTGGAATTTAAAAATAGTAAGAATTTACTTTTTATAAGCATGGACAGACCTATCAGTATTGTAAGTTACTTTTCCGGGGTTCCCCGCCCCCCCAAAGTAGAAGTGAAAAGCACTACTTGGAATTGTCATTGGAAGTGTAATGCTCATTGAGAATTTAATTGGAAATTTGGGGAGGGGGTTATGATGGGATGTATCCATTATTTCCATTTGAAATTTGTCATTGTTGTAAGTCCTATATACTACCTTATTTTACTTTTTTTTTTCTCGTGATTTTTGCATGGATAAGGGTAGAGATGGACAGCAGGACTCTTTTCCTCCCTGATACATAACTTATTTCTTGTTTTTTCTGTTAAAGGAGGAAGAAGCCAGACGACAATCAGGAGCTCAATATGGCTCTTTTCCAGGTATTTTTAAAGAAAAAGTGAACCTACTAATATTGTAAATAACTGGAGAATAATCTGATTTAGAGGCTCTGATATGTTTATTATATTTAATACCATTAGTCCCTGGGACACTGAAGAATCTTTAGAATGTTAGCTTCTAGAAATAGAGTATATTATTTTCTTCACACTTTGAGAAACATACTTTTTAAAAAGAGCTGACATTTATTGAGGCCCAAACACTAGCTTTGTTTAAAGACTATAATAATTGATTATGATGGATTCCAAGTATTTGTAAATAGCTATAATGGAATTTTTTCCATTGCTATTCATGAGATAATAGGTAAGAGCACTGTGTATAATTAATTATTAAGCACAAAAAATGTTTTAAGTCCAGTGTAAAAATAATACACACTTTTCCCTTATAAATGTCAAGTGATGAGAAATTATTAGTGAAGCAAAGCCTTGCATGATACCATAGTCTTATATAATACAAGTAGAAGAGCAGGCTAAAAGGCACTCAGACAATGAGTGAATGCTTCCTGAATGAGGCCGTATGAAATTTATATAAAAATCAGGAAGATTTTTTAAAGTTCATAATTCTAATGGGTTTCAGCTGTTTAATAGTAACCAGCTTTCTCTTAAGAAGTGTTTTATAGCTGCACACCACTTAGGGTTATATGCCTCTGGACCAAAAAGGTGGCCTCTACTCTGAAAGGTCATGTGCAAGCAACTTTAAAAAAGAAAAAATGAACATACATTGGGGATGACTTGAAGTTTGAAGAAAAGGCAAGGAAATTTTAGCTCATAGCTTTCTTTCTGTTTACAATACAATTTTATGTCCAGTACCTTTGTTTTAGAAAATGACCGCTAATGTAGACTAGGTCCAGCGATAACTTTTTGTTATATAGTTGTTACTACCTAGATTTGACAAGAAGACTGGCTTATTAATATTATATTGAGCTGGTAATTTTTTTCATGGCTAGAAACTAGTTTCTCAGTCAGTAGGAGCAGCAAGAGAAGCTAGAAGTTTGTAGATCCCTTAAATCTCCTTATCTGTGATTGTTAAGTTATTTATGGGTACTTATAAATTACTGAGGCAGGTGCTAATGACTTCATAATCCATGTTTTTGCTTTTTGAAAGCTTTATTCAGCCACTCTTGATTTATAGAATACATTACCTGTATTTTCCTTTAGAATGTCCTTATATTGATATAATTGTTATTTCAAAATACTTTAGTAGTCATAAAGATAGTTTAAAAAAAAATGAGTAGAAAATAATTTGGGCATATTCTAAAAGTAGAATTCAATCCTTTTTGCTAGAGCATTGTTCTAGCAAAGAAGAAACACCAGGCGTGCTTGTTAAAAATGCAGATTTTCAGTTTTACTTTCAGACATTTTGATGCTGTCTTGTGTAGAGATAAAAATCCATAGCTTTTTATAACAAGCATTTAGTGTAGTCCTTGAGGGCATAACTGCTCGAGGGGAATGTAGGTTTTTATGTTTTTTTTGAAAGAACAACTAAACTCTTACAAATTAATTTGAAATCGAAACAAATATTAAAGAAACTTTGTAATTCCAAGGTACTTAGCTTTCTTTTTATTTTAAAGTAAGATTAGCTTTTGTTTTCTTAAGAGTTTTATTGATATGGGAAGAAATTAATCCAGAGGTAACAAAGTCTGATTTACAGCCTATTTTTAAGAGGTAATCTGAAGGTTAACAGTTGTATCATGTTACATCCAGTTAGAATGTTCAGACTACTTTGTGTTAAGTAGCGTCCTCCTTCTTTGTGCATGTCTGTATTTTAATCCGTAGTGTCAGCATAAGAAACATCCAGTCCTGTAGAGAATTTTTGTAGTTTATTCGAGCCAAAACCAGTGACAGTTGCTGGGAAGCAAGCTCTCAAATGCTGCAGATAATGACAGTTTTGCAGTTTCTCTTAAGCACTTTAAATTAGGGAAGGAACATAAAGAACCTGACATGAAGTAGGGAGAAAGCAAGGTGGAGGTTGGATTATAGAATTAAGTGTTTTCTAGAGGGTGGTTACTGTTTATTTTAAGGGTTTGTTATCCTAGATTGACAAAAACAATGGACAGGACTGGCTTAAGGCAAAGATAAACCTTTTACCAAAGAAGTTACATGCCTCAAGCCTAACGACCCACTAAGATCTGCCCAGTTAGGAATTTATGATTGGATCACCCTGTGAAGTTACTTTTATGAAACCCCTTTTTTGCCCACAGTAGAAAATAGTGTGCTATTAGATTACTTGAGAATTTGGTCGGTGTCTGTACAGTTCTTTCATTTATTTTTTTGTAGGTGGCTTTCCTGGGGGAATGCCGGGTAATTTTCCTGGAGGAATGCCTGGAATGGCGGGAATGCCTGGGCTCAATGAAATTCTCAGTGATCCGGAGGTTCTTGCAGCCATGCAGGTAAGATAGAAAAATGGAGCGGAACTTCACATCACTGAGGCATTTCTTTCATAGTTCTGTGTGGAGACAAAGGTTACTCTGTTAGCCAAATTTTATTGATCTGAATTACCAAATAGCTAACTATGTACTTCTGACATTCATTTTCTTTGAGAATGAGTAGTTTAAGGGGGTTTTTTTGTTGTAGTTGTTTTTGCTTTTTTTAATCCTCACCTGAGGCCATGCTTATTGATTTTAGAGAGAGGGGAAGGGAGGGAGCAAGAAAGGGAGAGAAACGTCTATGTAAGAGAGAAAGCATCCCTAGGTAGTTTTTAGTAAGAGCCTCAACTGAAACCTAGGCTTGTGCCCTTACCAGAAATCGCACCTGTGACCTTTCGGTTTACAGGACAAAGCTCCAAACACCTGGGCCACACAGACCAGGAGAGTAGCTTAAGATTTTATAAATTAGCTTACAGGAAATTCTTTGTAATGCTTGGTAATTATATCCAGTTGTTTTTTTTCTTTGAATCAAAATTATATATGATTTTTTTCATTAGTTAAAGTGACATAATTGAGTTTGACTTTGAAGTGCACGTTAATAATATTTATATTTGAAGGACATGTCCAAACCCCAAATAACTTGACAGTGACAAAATTATAGAATTTAAGCTAACAAACTTGTTGACCCATAGAATTTTTAAATACTTTAAAAAAAAACAACAAAAAACAACACACCTTTCTTTGCAGGATCCAGAAGTTATGGTGGCCTTCCAGGATGTGGCTCAGAACCCGGCAAATATGTCAAAATATCAGAGCAATCCAAAGGTTATGAATCTAATCAGTAAATTGTCAGCCAAATTTGGAGGTCAAGCGTAATGCCCTTCTGATAAAGCAAGCCCTTGCTGGAGGAAAAGCAACTTGGATCACCCAATGGATGTCGCAATAATACAAACCAGTGTACCTCTGACATTCTCATGAAGAAAGCTGGGGTGCGTTGAAGAGAATCCCTACCCTCTGCCCCAAATGCATCTGTAACATTTGGCAGTGGTTTGCCATTATAGTATTCTTTCAGATAATGTTTTCCTACTAGGAATTACAAAGCTTAAACACTTTTAAATCTAAAAAGTATTTAAAAACACATTAAAAGGGTGTGTTAAACCCTACATTTTTCTTTACTAATCATTTTGGTCTCTTCCTTTGAATTAATTGGGCAAAAGATACTTCAGTATGGAAGATTTATTGCTCAGTTTGAGTGAAATAAAGATTTATTAGTGGGAGACAAATACAACATTTAAGTAGTTTGAGTTGAATATATGGTTGCTGAGGCATTTTGATTTCTCTTTTTAAATGCATTATTTGTTAAAAAAATGATTTATTTCAATAAAACTACTGGGACCACCAGTATTGCAGTAGGACCTGGGTAGGGACTGGAAGTACTTGGTAGGGCAGCAGCAATCGTACTACATTTTAAATAACATGTACTCTTGTGCAGATGCATTTAAATCTTACACTGTGGTGAAAGGATGATTTTTATAATGCTGCAGTAGAGGTGGATTACTGATCTCTGTTGTCTGATATATAAAATAAATAATAAATGTTTCGTGTTATTTCCACAGAGGAGAAATAAGGAAATACTTTTCTTTTTATACTTCTATGTTTAAAATTATCTCTTCTGGTCAAAAAATACCCAATTCTTTGTAGCTTTGTACTTTCTTTTACATTTCCCTCCTCCTTACTCTTTGTGCTAACAATAGTCCTTTTTCACTGGCATCATCGCTGCTGTCATTCACAGCATAACTGTGCAAGCATATTTAATGCTGGGTTTAATTTAATATGTAATGCATATAACTATGTAGAGTAATACCCATAACAGCTGCAGTTTTCTACTTGGCTAAGAGATTTCATACTTAAATACTAGATTTCTACTTGAGGAAATTTTACCATATCAAAAGATGTTGAAAGGAGTGATTTACTTTGGTGTTTGGTCTTCTACTTAGGAAATACCAGTTGAGTTTGTATTTGGAGAGAGTACAAGGTTCTAATTAATTGAGATATGTAGAGGGGAACCTAAGTTTTTGATCGAGCATGAATTATAAAATTGATGAGATCCATGGTGGTTCTTCACTGTAGTGTTGTTGGTATTACGAAAGACTCATTGTTTTCCTATTCAGTTCTTAAATACTGCAACCATATTTCCATCCCTCCTTCCCTCTTCAGGATGAAGATGATAAATTTTCTGTTGTATATTTAATTCCTATATTAAGTAAATCTAAGTCCCTGTACTGTACCAGGAATTCCTAGGTTTCTACCTAAAAGCAGTTTTAAGGGATGAGGCCCCCTGTACTTGCTTATTTGAAGAATCAGTGCTAAGAGCAGTGAAGTAAATTCCATGGAATACATTTTTGAAATAGCATATATCTGAAGTCTTAATTGATTCAGATTCTAACCCTTTGCTGTACACAAGCGGATAGAAATGCATCTGTTATATAAGTAAGAAAAAGCTGTATGCTAATCAAGCATGCTTTTTAAACCTTTAAAAATACTCAGCATATAAACTAGCATTTGAGCTTGCCAGTGTCTTTTTGTTAATGTGTGTTCTCTTTTCTCAAAATTTCTAATACACGCTGTGAATAACTCAAGACCAGTTGCTTTTGAATTCCTTATTTGATTTGGTTTATTTAACTATACGTTACGTAAGTATGTTTTAACATTGGAAATACTACCATAAATGGGTAGAAGTAAAACTGGTTTTCTGAAAATGTGTTCTGTGCTTTTAGATTTTTAAGTTCCACAAATAAAGAAATGCTTTCATTTTCATAGAAAATATCATTTATAAACAAATGTTCTTGTGCTAATAATGCTGTAAGAAGGAAAAGTGAAGGAGTTTTTTCTGCTTAAAAATATATAGTTACTGGATATTTCTAGCTACATTAAAAATAAACTATGATTTTAAACTGGATATTGACTCCCCCACCCCACTTGTTTTCCCCAGCACGTGTTCTATTTCTTTTGTCTCTAACACTGATCTTAAGTGTTTGGGCATAGGAGGCTTCAGGTTATAAAGTGCAGTTAACAAGGACACCTTCTCCGCCTTCCCCCCCAAAATACATTAGCCTAAGTCAGTGATTTTTAACCTTTTTCTTCTCATAGCACACAAACTAAATACTAAAATTCTACAGCAAAACAAAAAATACATTTCCAATATGCCAGCAAAAAGGGTATAATTTTGATTGATTTACCAAAAAAAATAATAGTAATTACCTACCCTTTTTGTTCCAAAGTAACTTTAAAATATCAGGTGCCTATACTTGTATATAAGGACTTCTGGTACTAAGAATTAACCAATCGAATGCAACCTTATGTGGCCAATAAGATGCAACTCTATTGTATGACCTATATATTTATGGTTCAATGCAGGGCATTCATACTGGACAGCTGTTGCGTTGACTGTTGTCATTTTTTTTTATTTGAAAATCTAAGGGAAAAGAGGTCAGTGCCCCTGAGTAAATAGATACCACATGTTTTAAAAATTCTTGCAGCACATCAGTTGAATATTGCTGGCCTAAGTAAAACAGCTTTAATTTTCCTTTAGGTAAGCAGTCCACAGGTAAGCACTTCTACCATACTCTGGTAGATTCCATTTCTAGGCTCAAGGGTGCTTTCTCTGGAGCATGTCTTTTATCCTGTGGAAACATGAGACGGCTCCAGGGAAGCATGTGCTGAAATACTGAGGTTAATAATACATGGCATTAGCATTTTATTCTCATTCTTTTGGTCAGCTGCTTCTTGGTCTTGACACCAGTATTATAATAGTCCATAGTGGTGTGGTCACATGCCCAACAAAAGAATTACATTACCACAGAAAAGAGAGAGAAAAAGACTTTGGGTAACATCTGACAGTCTGCCACACTGGGAAATACTGGCTTAACGGGTTATAGGGAAAAACAACAAGAGATTTGATCATAGCTGAAATTAACGCACCCAAGCAGGCACATACATCAAGTAAGTAGTACTTTGTGCCAAACCCTTTGTAATCAGTCTTCAAGTATTAACTCAATTTCTGATAATGACCAGAAGTACTCCATTTTATACAGATGAAAAGAACTGAAACACTTAACTGCCCAGGATAACACCCTTGATTATTTGTGGAGCTGGGATTTTCACCAAGCTTAGGGTTTTGAAAGTCTTCCTCTTAAATTATGTGCTCTGCTGCCCCTCTCTGTTTGAGGTTTCTTCTTACAGAATTGTTCATTGCTTCAAGAAATTGAAAACTAAAATGTACTCTTGAAAAGGAGTATCAGAAATAGTGGAGTGTGCTGATGTGCACATCCAATAGGCATTTTTCCTGTTAGGGATGTAACAGTTGAAGTACTTAGTCCACTTGTGGCAGACCCAATAAAAGGAACAAGAAAAAATTCTAAAAATTACGGTGTAATTTTTTAAAGTTCCATCTGTATCAACATTAACCAGTGTAGCATTTAGGGAAGAAAATTTCCTAAAGTAGGCAATAACTAGTTAAAAATAGCTGTAAAACTTTAAAAATGATAAATTTAAAATGAGTAGGGCATGTAGAGTTGGCAAGTTTTTAAATACCTTGGCAATTATTCAGTAACACCTTTAGTGCTGATGTTACCATGCAAATTTCATAATTTTCTATAAAGTATAACAAAATATGTGGATTCTAAGTATTAGGCAGAGCCAGATTAGCAAGGAGGTAAATATTTGCTCTGAAAATCTAGGTATGTGGTATATCAACTAGAATGCCTTTAAAGGTCACTCATCCAAGTCATGAGGATATTTTGGGTTGCAGTATAGAGATCTTAACCAATGTGATTAAAGTATTTCTACAAATTTTGTGAGAACACATGACCAGATAGTAGTAGCCATATAGGTGAAATGATTAGTTCTAGTTTCCTTTTAGCTCATTTGGTACTGATGGCTCGGGTGTAAATAGAGTAACACTGAATTTGTTAATGCTGCTATAATTTAGGGAGCCCTCTAAGGAAAATACATAATTGTGAATTCTAAATTAGATGTAGAAATGTTTAAAACAGGAAAAATTTCTAAAAATTGGAAGTAAACAACTTTTGTAGAGTTCCATTTAATAAGTGATGTACCTGCACCAGAACTACAAAGTTCCATTTAGTGTGTAATGTATGTATGTAGTTGCTACGTTTGTTTTTTAAAGACTATTTTTAGAGGGGAAGGGAGGGGGAGAAACATCAATGTGTGGTTTCCTCGAGCGCACCCCTTACTGGGATACCTGGCCCGCAATCCAGGCATGTGCCCTGGCTGTGAATCGAACCAACGACCTTTTGGTTTACAGGCTCAATCCACTGAGCCACAGCAGCCAGGGCTAATTGCTACATTTTTTTTCATTGCGTACTCATGATTCTGTAGTTTTTCTAGTAGGCGATAATTCCATCTTGATCAAATTTTTGTGATAGTCGGGCATGCTGCTAGGTTCACGCCGTGCAAGTGGGAATTTGGGAAACTCAGTTACCATCATAAAGGGAAAGTGCTCAAAAAGTGTTTATAAATGGGTGTCTACATATTGCAATATACAGGGCGGTACAAAAATAGATTTACATTTGTGAATGAATACATGAAACAGTTCATTGTATATTTTTAATATTTTCCATAGGAACAACTGTAAACTACTTTTGCCCCACCCTGTATTCTTGATCCAGAGCTTCCAGGTTGATTAGGCATCAATTAGAACTTGTTCTCTGCTTAACATTTTCAATGGACCAGCTTATCTCTTTCAGTGGCAGAATTCTATCTTCATTGCCCTTTAGGGTCTGTGCCTTGATGTCCAGACCCAAGGAAGTGCTGGGGTTATTCCTGGAAGCCATTCTTACAATAGGGTGTCTATCAGTAATTTAACCACACATGCAGATAACACTAAACTACATATTTTCCCAAATAATCTTTCACTTAGTTTGTGGTCGCTGTCACTGTAAGACCACCTTAAATGAAGGGGGAGCTTGAGTGGAAAGATATCTTAACCAATGGAAAAATACTTGGTGAAAACATGACCAGGTAAATTGTTCAGGCCTTCTAAGGAGTAAGTGTGATAAAGGGCATAAAGTACTGACCCTGGCATGTAGTAAGCACTTATATTATCAGCGAAGGTTGAAGGTATTTCAAAAACTAATAGAGATGTGACATTGGTACCCCAGTAAAGAAATTCTGAAACCCTTACAATATAACTTGGTGTTAGGTTAGAAATGTTTTCTCCAGCTCTGTATATATAGGTTGGGTCTTCACTTTGCAATGTGACGGAAAAAAATTTTGTAAAGTGCAGCTCCATAAATTAGCTTTTGTAATCCTCACAGCAAATGAGGTGGTTAGTACCGTATTAACACTCACTTCACAAAGTAGGAAATCAAGATGTTAAAGGATGTTCCCACCTGTATCTGATTATTTTGACTTCCTGAAGCTCAAGATTTCATCCCACCACACCTCAGGGTTTTTCACATGCGAGAACTTTGACAAACCGACATTTTATTTCGGTTTGGCCAAAAATATGACTTTAAAAAGATTGGTGAAGCCCTGACTGGTGTGGGTCAGTGGAGAGAGCTCTGGCCTGCGAACCAAAGAGTCATAGGTTCAATTCCCGGTGTAGGGCACAGTCCTAGGTTGCAAGCCAGGTCCCCAGCAGGGGGTGTGCCAGATGCAACCACACACTGATGTCCCTCCTTTTGCCACTCTAAAAATTAAAACAACAACAACAAAAAAAACTAGTGAAATCCCTGGCCCTATAGCTCAAGTTGTTAGAGCATCGCCTGATATGCCATGGTTGCAGGTGCCATCCTTGGTCAGGACACACACAAGAATCAACCAATGAATGCATAAATAAATGGAACAAAATCTGTTTCTCTAAAAGCGATTTTTTAAGAAATAGAAATCTTAGAGAAAATACTAGTCAAGTCTCAGAGAAACAGGAAGATTTGAGTCCCTCACTTTGACAGTCATCAGCTTGTATTACGGAGGGAGGTGGAGAAAAAAGAGCCCGTCTTGGCTTTCTAGAGTGCCCGCTGTTGTGTGAGGGAGTGTGAAACACCACTGGCCAGGTTTGGAGAACCTAGAAGGGTGCCGGGTCGCTCGCTCCCCGCGGTGGAGCCCGCATCGCGCTGCACCGCCCCCCGCAGGCCCTGGGAGCCAATCAGGCCCAAGGGGGTGTTCACAGGCCCGCCTTTTTTGCCTTCCCGCCGGAGCGGTCTCTGGCTGAGCGACTGGGCGCCCTATAGCCCGGAAGTGGTTCTGGAGGAGGCGGCCCTGAGAGGGTGGAACTCGTGACGCTTCTCCTGGGGCTCTGGCTACCCTCTCTCGTGTGACCACGGTTCCTGCGGGAGAAGTGTAGCTGATTTTGACGGGAACCGCACCAATGGCTTCCGTGCTGTCCTACGAAAGCTTGGTCCACGCTGTTGCCGGGGCCGTGGTGAGGCGGGGTCTTCACGCCCGTGTCGCTGCGGGGTGTGGGGTTTCTCAGGGGTAATTTTTCGGGGTATGCCTGGGGGATGGGGGTGAGCGGGAGATCGTGAGGGTTAGGGTCTAGGGTGTCCTGTCATGACTGTGGGATGGAAAGGAAGAGCGCTTAGACGAGAAGTTGCTGGAGGAATTCGGAGTGACGGCTGACACTCAGTCTCCGCCCCTGGCTACCGCTCTGGGTTCTTAGAGACTGTCTGGAGTATAGACAGAGGCGATCCCACATACCCACAGGGAGTCGGGCAGAAGATAATTGCTGTTTTCTTCGGTTTCTAAAAGTTAAACGCCAATCCTCCTCTTACCCCACACCCACCGCACACACAAACTTCGCCTTGACTGGGCCAGAGGAAAACCTAAGGATCAGATGCTTAACTACAACTTATTTTCACACAGTTGCTGCGGGCATGGGAAGTGCCTACGGAATAGGCCATCTTTGGCCAATATTATTGGTAGACGATACCTTTGTTTTTTGGTTTTTTTTTAGTCAGGGTCAGAGTTGCTGTCTACCACAGGTATGGTTTCCTGTGAGGTATGCGCTGGGCTCTTGGGCTTCTGGATGCCTCATCCCTCCCTTTTCCTTGAACCTTTCCACTCCTGACGTGGGTAACTTCCTCCTCCGGTCCTCATCCCATTCCCCTGACCGCCCTGTCTCACAGCCTTCTCTAGCTGTCAACGTGCACCGATAGCCGTTGGAGTCAGTGTGGCTTCAGAGGAATATCATTGATCCCTCTCCTTTTAGCCGCTCAAAACTCGTGCAGAGCTCATGTTCCACGAGGACTAATCAGGCCCGAACCCCCAACTCCGTGATTTGTTAGCTAGGTGTCCTGTAAACCTCACTTTCCCCATTTGTAAACTGGGGTCATAAATATTTACCTCACAGTTAAGGTAAATATTAAGGTAATGGTAACAGAATTAGGTGACACAGTCGTTATGGCAGTGGCTGACTGAGGAGTCTTGGTTTGCTCGTCACACCGAAAGAGCCTCTCTGCCTGTGTGAAGACACTGCGTAGGAAGCCTGCTTGACATGCTGTAGGGTGGGCATGGAGGCCTGTGTTCCTGACGTGAGGGGAGCAAAGAGGAAGATAGGGTTCTGGGGACCGAATCGTGGGAGACTTTAACTGAGTAGGAAAGAGAGCTAGCTAACGATTGCAGGTTTGGAGGATGCAGCAACTTGCTGATTTATGTTTTAAACACGATCACCCTGGCTGCAAGGGTGAAGGCAGAGAAACTGTCAGGGAGCTGTTACATCATTTCAGGCAGGAGATGATGATGCTTGGACCAGGATGGTAGCAGTGGAGGTTTTGAAAAGTGATCATCAACTTGGAATACATTTATAAGATAGAGCCACCAGGGTTTGATGGTGGATTGGATATGCAGTGTAACAGAATGAGGGTTGGTTGATTCCCAAGAGTTTTTGGCTTCAGCAACTGAAAGGATGGTGTTCCCACTTACTGAGGGGATGAAGGCTGTGATAGAGAAGGTTTTGGGGGAGATATAAGTTTGGTTTTAGTTTTGGATTAGTTACATTTTAAATATGTAGGAGTAATGATGAGAGTAGATGAGTTCACCATGAAAATGAGTGTGAACTGAGAGAAAAGTCTCAAGAGACTGAGCCCCAGAGCACCAACATTAAGAGGTTGGGGAAATGATATAGCACCACCAAAGGAGACTAAAGAAAGGTTGGTAGGATAAGAAGAAAACTAAGAGAATGTGGTGTTCAGAAAGTCACATGGTGAAGAGTATAGACCAATTGGGTCAGATACTACTGATAGATCAAATAAGATGAGGACTGAGACTTAACCATTGAATTTCAACTTGTTTATCAGCAAGAAAAATCCAGTGGTTACATGAGAAGACCAATTCTGAAATGAAAGAGTAAGATGAATAGTTGGAGTACATCTAAGAGAAATTAGGAAATATTTACTCTTTTTTTCTTTCAATAGATGCCATTTATTGAACACTTTTATTGAGTGCTTTCTATGTGCCATGCACAGTTCTAGGTGCTATAAATAGCATGGAGAATAAAGTGTTTTTCTTCATGAAGTGTGTATTCCAGTGGGGGAGTCATGCAATAGCTGAGTAAACAAAATAAAATTTAGATAGTGTTGTGAAAGAAATAAAAGAATGGTTGGCAAACTTTCTGTAAGGAGACAGGTGGTAAATATTTTATACTTTGTGTAAAGTCTCTGGCACAGCTACTCAACGTTGTCATGATAGTGTGGAAGCAGCCATTGACATTAAGTAAATAAATGGGCAGAGCTATGTTCCAATAAAATCATATTAACAGAACAAGGCAGTGGATTAGACTTGGCCCTTAGACTGTAGTTTTCTGACGCTTGCTATAGAGAGTGACTGTAGAAAGAGGTGCCCCCTCCCCAACTGTGTGACTTTGGCATAAACTCCAAGACTTCCTGGAGTAGTTGCTGCTTCTCCAGAAGGATTATTGGATCATTGTTTAAGATGTTGACTTAACCTTTTTGAGTTGATGTTTCATGTTTGCTTTGTCAGTCACTTCTTTCCAAGTTCTATACTTACTCAGATCAAGTGCAGTATTATGAACACACACACACATTTTAAAAATTAAACAAATGAGTGATTTTGAGTGTTTTGTGGCATGCTGTGGGATAATTGCAGACAATCTCGAGTATTTGAAAACTAGAATTGTGTTGTTTAGAGTAATACTATATTTCTAATTAATGACTATTATATATTAATGGCCTCATGTAAATAATTCTCAAAACTTTTGAGTATAATTAGATTTATAATTATAAACTTTGGGTTCTCTTTAGCTTTGAAAGGTAGATTTTATTTGTATATTTTATTAATAAAAGAGATTTTATTAGTCTAGAATTTGAAAAGTGAGATTGGTTGGAATTCTCTGAGGGGGTTTAAATGTTGAAACAGACTGGAATTATGGTGCTAATAATTAGTAACTTTCAGGGATTTCTTTTTTCCCTGTTTTTTTATTTTTGAATGTTTTTTAATTGGATGATTTATGTTTTTAGAGAATTACATTTCATTGAATAAATGCTGACTTTTAAGAATTCAAGTCATACAGAAATATGAAAGAGTCCTCCTTTCTCTTTCTACTCCACCTATTATCGTTCTGTGACTCTGAGGGCACTCTGTCCTTGGAACTAGTGTAAGAAGGCTATTCAGAGCACTTTTCTCCAGTTGGTATCAGAAGAGAAAATTAGGCCCAACTGTCTGACTGTAGATGCTTTTACCATCCACAGTGTCCAACCCACAGCCTGCAGGCTGTATGCAGCCCAGGATGGCTATGAATGCAGCCCAACACAAAATTGTAAATTCACTTAAAACCTTCTTTTAACTCATCAGTTTTTGTTAGTGTTTGTGTATTTAATGTGTGGCCTAAGACAGCTCTTCTTCCAGTGTGGCCCAGAGATGCCAGAGGGTTGGACACCCCTGACTATACTTGCTAGAAGTAGAAACCAAGTATAGGAACTTGTTGATTCTCTATACAAGGCTTTCTGGATATAAAGGTCAGTTAAAGGGTCACTGACGTCAAGAAGCTCTCTTCTTAAATATATAGTAGAAGTATGGACCAGGTCTCTGGTTGTACTGTGGAAAAAGAGGTGGGCTGCACCTGCGAAGACTGGTAGCTTCCAAGGTTGACATTTTTAGACAAGCTCTTGAATGAAGAGTAGGAATTTGCTTGGCAAAATGAAATAGGAAAGCAATAAGAGATGTTTAGATAGGACAAAAAGCATACTCAAAGGCCCTAATATATAAATCAGCATTCAGGGAACTTCAAGCTAGTTCTAACATAGCTGGTGTTAAAAATGGGAGTAGAAGGATATGAAGTTGGATAGTTTCATATACTATGCAAAGATGTTTGGGTTAAAGTTTATCAGAAACAGTGTCAAAATGTGGTTGTATCTCCCTCATTCTCTGTTTTCTCTGTTTATATACAAATAGGCATTTACAGATGGGTTTTTTGTTGTTTATATAACTGGTATAGAAAGATTATCCTAGAAAGGATATTTAATATATTAAATATACTGGATATTTAATATTATAGAAAGTTTCATATCCTAGGGTTTTTTGGCAGGGGTTGATGTGTTTATTTAAGAATGTAATGCATCCCCATATATATCAGTTAGAGTTCCCTGGTTCCAAACTGGAGAAACAGAATTTGGGTGATTTAACAGAAACTTTATTGGCAGACTTTTTGGGAGCTCTCAGATCAGTGGGGAGGCTGAAGACTTGAAGAAAGAAGGAACCAACAGACCCCAAAAAGATTTCTGAAGCAGTCACTGGAGAATGTCTATTGGACACCACCACTGGAATCAGTGGATTCTGTTGCTTTTTCTTCTACCCCTACAGCATTCTGCTCAAGATTCAAGTCTAGGGGGAGCCCCTATTAGCTATGTTCAAGGTCAGGTGCTCACCCCCTGACTATAAAATATTGAGGGTGAGCACCAGGATTTATCATCCTATCAAGAGTATGGAGTGGGAAGAAATAAAGTAAATCAGCCCACCCTTAGGAAAAGGGAATTATGCTGTGTGGCCCAAAATATCAGATATCTACTACATCATGTCATTAACAAAACTTCAAAAATCAATTGCAGAGGTTTTATGCACTTTTTTTTAGCTTTTATTTATTTTTTGTTGAAGTTATTTGGGTTACATTGGTTAATAATTATATAGGTTTCAAGTGTACAATTTTATAATTATCTATATGTATATTGTATTGTGTGTTCACCATACTAAGTCAAGTTATATGCAGTCTTTATTGTAATTATTTTCCCTTTTATAAAATGGGGATAGTAACACTTCACTTACTGGGTTCTCCTGAGAAGTAAGTGTGGTAACACTTGTAGAGCACTTAGCACAATGCCTGAAATAGTGTAGTAAGGCTATAATATTCATTTCTTTTTCAGATATATTCTTGCAAACAGTATTTAAAAAACTGTCATTGCTTTTTCTTTT